ACACGGCCGCCAGCTTGTCAGAGGCTTCAGGCCGGGAGAGAAGGCTCTGCGTGGGGAGCCGGCCGAGGAAGAGGTTGGCAGGGATGAGGTAGGTGAGGATGCGGTGTCGATGGGAGACCAGAGGGGCCGGCGTCTGGCTGTACGCTTCCTGGAGGCAGAGCGAGGCTCGGACGTAGTGGCTGTTGGAGAGATTGAAACGGCCGAGGTAGAAGAGAAAGGTGACGCGCTGTGCGGCAGGATATAGGGACAGTGGCGGTGAATTGGACGAAATGTTGGTGAAGATTTGCTTCGCAAGCTGGGTCCGGCGGCAGGCGAAGAGCAGCTTCAGCACCAGGTTGGCGAACATGTAGACGCCAATCTTCTTTCCTTCCGGTTTGCTGTAGCGCGCACTTGTGCGATCCGTCAGACACGTGGTGAATATCTTCTGAATAATTTCAGCCGATGTCTCGGCAATGGACTTGCGGTCATCGGCTTCAACGTTGCGCAGCCGCATGGTCAGATCAGGGCGGCGACTGACCATCATGGTCAGCCTAGACATGGTCTCGCATAATGACATGGCCGTCTTGAGTAGCATGCCACCATACATGGGATGAGCAAAAGCCGTTCCACAGGAGCTGTGTGCCGTCACCCAGTCAGTCGCATCCAGCACGAAAGCACAAGAGCCACTCACTTGACCAATCCACTGAGCAACGTGTGTGCCGCCAGCAGGTTATCAAAGTCCACATCTCGCCAAAACAAAAGATAGTCCTTCATGAATGTGACGAAACCAGGCCATGGCGTGGCCTCGCCTTCTGAGACATCGTCATCCTCGGGAAGACACTTCTCGATCGTCTGTTCGAGAGCTGTGCTATCTTGTTGACGGAAACCAGTGCGAAGCTGCGCGGCAAGGTTGTGGTAAGTCTGTGAGGCGTTGGGTTCAACCAGCAGCCAGTTGCGAAGCTCGTCGCCGTTTTGCTGGCGCACAAAGGCCCTGATTTGTGTGAGGAATTCAATCAGGAGCGTCATTGGCGCAGAATTGAGCGTGGTCGCCGTGAATACCGACGTTGGATATTGTTTGTTGCTGCTCAGTCAATGAGAAATGCGGTAAACTAAAGGTAAGTCGCGGTCCTGTCCCCAGTTGAAGAGCCCGGTGACACGGTGAGAGGTTGCAATTGGTCGGTGTGATTCGGTCACTGGACTGCTCCCGCAGGGTTCAATCCCTGGATGCCTTGCTCCTAGCGAAAAACTCAGGCAGTTCAACGATAGCTTCTTGACTTTAGCCATCACACTGTAACCTTGCCTATGGTCATTTTCGAGTCTTAAGATATGCAGAGCACCGCGGACCACCAGGTGCCTCGTCAAAATTGATCATCCAAATGTCATTACGGTGTCTACGTCTAGAAACTCTACACTGACTCGATGCGTTGCACCACCAGGGCTGTCGCAGCACCTCCGCCGTTGCAAATGGCCGCGACACCATACTCACCAGGCTTCAGCTGGTGCAGCAAAGTCGTCAGAATCCTCGAGCCCGAGCTTCCCAACGCGTGTCCCAGCGAAATAGCTCCACCCAAAGGGTTCACCTTCGCATTCTCAAGCCCCAGGATCTAGAAATCAACAATTAACGAGTGATTCATGACTGGACAGCAGGAATTGACTCACCTTCTCGTTGGCCTTGATGACGGCCGCAAACGCCTCATTAAACTCCCAGATGGCCACCTGGTCCTTGGTGATTCCAGCGCGCTTCAGGGCAATAGGGACTGCAGATGCTGGTGCGATGGGGAAATCGATGGGATCGACAGCCGCGTCGGCTGAACCGCAAATCTTCGCAAGTACCCTCGATCCGGATCCGTACTCTCGGGCAATTTCCTTGCTGCCCAGAACAAGAGCGCTTGCGCCGTCGTTCAGGGTAGAAGAGTTGGCGGCCGTGACGGTGCCCGTTCCATCCCGGACGAAGGCGGGCTTCAGAGTCGGCAGCTTCTCGAGCTTGGCATCGTTGAAGCCTTCGTCCACCTTGATTACTGTGTCGCCCTTGCGGCTAGAGACTGTTACCGGGGCGATCTCGTCATCAAAGGCATTCGCCTTCCATGCGGCCTGCGCGCGCTCGTAGGACTGCACAGTGTACTGATCCTGCATCTCTCTCGTGACTTCGTACTTCTTGGCTGTGCTCTCGGCGCAGATGCCCATGTGGATATCGTCGTAGGCATCGGTCAGACCATCCTTGATCAAGCCATCCTCCATCTTGACGTGCCCAAACGACGGAAGGTTCGACGAGCGAGGGACGTAGTAAGGTACCCGCGTCATGTTCTCCATGCCGCCAGCAATCTGGGCTTCGGACAGGCCGAGTTGAATGTTCTGCGCCGCCATAACAACCGCCTTCAGACCAGAGGCACAGACCTTGTTGATGGTGATGGCCTCAACGCTCGAGGGGAGTCCGGCGAAGATGGCAGCTTGCCGAGCAGGAGACTGGCCAACAGAGCCTTGGAGGACGTTTCCCATGTAGACATCGGTAATCTTGGACACGGGCACTTTAGACTTTTCGAGGGCCGACTTTATGGCGACGGCGCCCAGTTTCGGGGCGGGCACGGTGGTGTAGGAGCCGTTGAACTGCGGAACACATACTCGTTAGAGCTCAGCTGACGCGAGTGATTTCGATTGCCACGAACCTTGGCCGTCGGGGTCCTGGCGGCGCTGAGGATATAAGCATCCCGGATCTCCTGCTGAAGCGCGGTTCGCGTAGAGAACGGACGAGCGGCGAGTTGCCTGGCCACCTGGCCAGAGAGCGCCGTCGTTCGCCTGAGCTGCATGACGGTCATTGTTTTGCGCAAAGTAGTGGCGTGGAGAGCGAGTTTGTGGTACGGGCGCGTTCGCAAAGTCTGTGATGGCGAAATAAAAGGAGAGGTGGGAAGGCGTCAGGGGACATGTGAACGCGACCTTAACCCGGATTTGATGGCGACCTCGGGCTGCCTCGGCTTAAGAACGACCAACGATCTCGGAACCTGCGGGGGAGGCGGGATTGACGTCGGCTGCTATTCCCATCGGCCCCGCACCCTGCCCAAAAGGCTCCGACGCTGCGGGGGTTGAGGTTGGGGGGCTTTGGAGCACTTCTCGATTCATTGATTCCGAGCAGAGCTGATCAATACCCTCCGGGTATGAGCCGAAATTCCTGCATGAGGTTACTATTGTTGACGGCTCGGCCTGATAACTTCACTTAACGTATTAGCCAAGGTAAAGCGGCTGGCTCGTGGCTCAACATCTCACTTTCTTCGCTTCAGGCAAGCTGTTTGTTGTATCTGTAGAACGGGTCAGTAACCCCCCTGATGTCACATGGTTTCCCGGAAACCAGAATGGCACAAAACCCAGCGTATGCCACCAGTCCGCACCATTGGCCTTCCAGCTACTCAAATTGCCCAAGAGTGGCCTCGGCGCTGCGTTCTGGCGATACTATGTTGTTCAATTATTCATACAATGTTCTAGATAGCGATGCGGTTCCCGAACGACACCAGCCTATCCTAGGTAAGATGCGCAATTTCACACCCCTGGAGTCTTCCTCTGTCTATGTCTCTCCAGTGGTCCTTTGGTTGATGAGAGCTGATCGCCTCACTTCCGCTCAGTTCTCGAAAGCAATCACACATTACAAAAAGCGCGTGCATGACACAACGGGGTTCTCTATATCTTCAACTATGACAGTGTACCTGAAAAGCAATAAGCATAGAAGACCCCTTGGCTCGTTGATGGCTGGTCTTAAAGTGATTAATCCATTGCAGGCACCTCTAGCCTGATCCCCATACAGCCTGGTCGATGGATTCCTTGAGCACATGGTGTGAAGTCTATGACTGTACCATAGGTCTCGCTCTCGTCGTGTGGCTCTAACAAAGGTGTTGGGCATCTAGCAGCTACCCATGGATCTACAAGCGAGATGCAAGCTTTAGCTGGATGGCATCCCGTGTTGCCCTCTTTCGGGAAATATCTCACCAAACCCCCAAACTTCCTTCTGCATGAAACGTATCCGACGGCCTATGATAGATTACAATGCGTTGCATTCAGGGATACTTTGGGCAGGAGCACTACATCGTCCGGAATGAAGTTGTCCTCTATGGGGACAGTACGGTAGATAGACGCCTGAGAGCAAAAGTGTTCACCATATATGACGTGATGGGGTCCAAAGCCAGATCGCGGTATAATGAGAGCCACGTCGGTACGCATTCACTTGTTAGATTTACCCAAATGGAATTATTAGGCCGTACATCGAACTTGACTCGGCTCAAAGTAGTGCAGAGTCGGGCCAAGATTCCCTAATCGCGCAAGGCCTCATGTGAGCAACTGGTTCCTCTGTCGTCATGTTAGACTGTCTCACGACCCGCCATACGCAGCAAGCTCTCTGGACTTTTCTGAGCGAGGGAGAGGGCAGCCGTGCTGCGTAACGGGAAGAAGTCCCACGAAGTCACGATGCGCCCCAAGTGAGCACTACCGTAGATGCGCGACCTGCTCCCGTCTCACACTTCGCACCATCAAGGTAGGCCGATTACCGAGTGGATGATAGCAGACGCTATAATTGTCCTCTCGATGTTGGGCATTGCATACCTTGATCCGCTGCAGTTTAAGTCATGTACCGTTGCCAAAGACAGCAAGCGACTGTGGCGATTGGCCGCTGGGGCGCTCTGAGCGCGCTGATTGGCTATCGAATGGCCTCGCCCGCCGGCGCATGATGAGCGGGTTCCGATGAACGTTGCACATCTGATGGCAAAGCACCTTGTCCTGTCTTCAGCTCAGGCTTCCTTTCCTTCAACCTTCTGGCACACCCACCTGACAAATCGACTTTGTTTCGCCCCTGCAATCCTCTCCCGACGGACCTCCTGCGACCCGACTACCCTCTTGTTTTGAATATCTGTGCACGCACGAGACAGATTCGGGACATCATCATCACTCGTTGCCAGTGCTTTTCGGGATCTGCTCATCCTGTCGCCAAAGCAGCCATCTACCCATCTGTGCACGCCTTGACCGACAAGCCACCATCCGACAGCATGTCTACAGCCGCCAGGCGTCGCTTGATGCGCGATTTCAAGGTGCGTTACACACCAGGGTATCATCGCTACGATGTGTCAACGGGTCTCTAACTGTGGACGGTAGCGAATGCAAACAGATCCTCCTGCCGGCGTTTCCGCCTCGCCAGTCCCGGACAATGTCATGACATGGTACGGCGAACCCCCTCACGTGGATGATTTGTTTTTACTCACGACGGAGAAACAGGAATGCTGTGATTATTGGTCCCGCCGACACGCCATTCGAAGACGGCACATTCAGACTGGTCATGCAGTTTGAAGAGCAATACCCAAACAAGCCACCTGCCGTCAAGTTCATCAGCCAGATGTTCCACCCCAATGTCTACGCTACAGGCGAACTCTGTCTGGATATTCTGCAGAACCGTTGGAGCCCGACATACGACGTGGCAGCTGTTCTCACCAGCATCCAGAGTCTACTGAATGATCCCAACACGGGATCACCAGCAAACGTCGAAGCCTCGAACCTGTATAAGGACAACCGAAAGGAGTACACGAAGCGGGTGCGGGAGACGGTGGAAAAGAGCTGGGAGGACTAGCCGTGCTCGGCGCTGGACAACATGCAGCGAGCCATCTTCAAATACCCCCGTCGAGTATGTGCTTGCCTGTGACAGAGGGCAGTATGCGAGACGAAACAGAAAACATGACGGACATGTGGTCAAAGTGTGACCACTACTCCATCGAGCGCCGGGTTCTTTTGTTTTTGTAGTGAGGGTTGTCGGTCACTGGTTATTGGCGTCTGGATTGCTTGGGTCTATGCTTTGTTACCATTCGGCGGCGTGGAAAGGGATACGATACGATCGACCACCTATGTACTTAGGGGCGGGCAAGACAGCTACAAGAGATGAGATACGAGTGGCATCGATGGCTGCAAATGCGCGGTCTATGTTACTGAAACTACAACGTGCCTGGCCACCTTGAGGCGGACGTCTGGAGATGCTGCAACTGGAGAGGCGGCATCTCGCAACTTATCTACCACCCTACATCACCCCCCACCATGTGACGATGACTTAGAGTCCCTCAGCCGTGGAATGGGTTGATGCCAATTTCGCGGGGTGGTGACTAGCGCTAGGTATGGCGCATTGCGTCGAATGATTAGCGACCCGCTCACTAAATTCCGCGGTAGGTGACACCTATTCGGCCCCTGCCACAGTGAGGAACTCCCGCGCCCTGACAAGCCTAAGGCAGGCACATGAAACCACCACTATGGAAAGGTGGTCCAGTCCAGGCTGCTTGGTTGTTCAATCTCGCTCGCCGTTACCAGGTGCCCACCACCATAGCACAGTCAACGCGAATTCCCTCCACACCGCGCCGCGTCCACCGACTTCCCTCCCTCAACCCCCTCTCTCCGTGATCCGTCTTTCTCGCTCCTCACTTCACCCTAAGAAAGACCCAACTCGCTGTCGAACGATTCCGACATGCACGGTACTGCTTGACCACGCCCTGAATCCCACGAGCCCATCATTGGCGCATCTCGGGGTCTCCCGCTCTCTGTGTGCTCCGCAACGCACCGCAACGCAACAACAAGCCCCTCCCCCTGGTTTCCCGACAACACACCGGGTCGAGTCCTCAAGTCCTCCACCCGAGTTCCATGCTTCGACCCAGCACATCGCATTTGCTAGATTTCCTCCGTCGTCATCATGTCTAGCGCCAACAGCATTAAGGTTGTCGCCCGGTTTCGGCCGCAGAACAAGATCGAGTTGGCATCGGGCGGTCAACCGATTGTTTCCTTCAACTCCGAGGACACCTGTGCTCTTGACGTACGTCACCTTTCATAGCTCCTGTGACCTGGAGGTTACGGATGAGATGCGCAGCTTGCTAACATATATCTTTCGTCTTTTCAAACAGTCCAAGGAAGCACAGGGCGCCTTTACCTTCGATCGCGTGTTTGATATGGAATGTAAGCAGTCCGACATCTTCGACTTCTCCATCCGATCCACCGTCGATGATATTCTCAACGGATACAATGGCACCGTTTTCGCCTACGGCCAGACAGGCGCTGGCAAGTCCTACACCATGATGGGTTCCAGTATCGACGATGAGGAGGGCCGCGGAGTCATTCCTCGCATTGTCGAGCAGATCTTCGCCAGCATCATGTCCAGCCCCAGTACAATCGAATACACTGTGCGAGTCAGCTACATGGAGATCTACATGGAGAAGATTCGTGATCTGTTAGCGCCGCAAAACGACAACCTGCCGGTACACGAGGAAAAGAGTCGCGGAGTTTATGTCAAGGGTCTGCTCGAGATTTACGTTTCCAGCGTGCAGGAGGTCTACGAAGTCATGAGGCGGGGTGGTAACGCCCGCGCCGTGGCGGCCACCAACATGAATCAGGAGTCTTCGCGATCCCATTCGATCTTTGTCATCACCATTACCCAGAAGAACGTCGAAACAGGCTCGGCAAAGAGCGGCCAACTCTTCCTTGTCGATCTTGCCGGCAGCGAAAAGGTCGGCAAGACGGGCGCCAGCGGCCAGACATTGGAGGAGGCCAAAAAGATCAACAAATCTTTGAGCGCCCTCGGCATGGTCATCAACTCCTTAACGGATGGCCGATCCTCTCACATTCCGTATCGCGACTCGAAACTAACACGCATCCTGCAAGAATCTCTCGGAGGCAACAGTCGCACGACGCTTATCATCAACTGCTCGCCTAGCAGTTACAACGATGCCGAAACCATCAGCACCTTGAGATTCGGAACGAGGGCCAAGGCGATCAAGAACAAGGCAAAGGTCAACGCCGAGCTCAGCCCCGCAGAGCTTAAATCTCTGCTCGGAAAAGCCAAGGGACAGATCACAAACTTTGAGGGCTATATTTCCAGCCTGGAAGGCGAGATTCAAATGTGGCGGTCTGGAGAGTCTGTCCCCAAAGACAAGTGGGTAGCCCCACTCACTGACGGCCACTCTGCCCCCAAAGCAGAAACCAGAGCACCTCGACCTTCGACGCCTTCGAGACTCGTGCCGGAAAGTAGGGCAGAAACGCCTGCCATTTCGGAGCGCGCAGGGACGCCCAGCCTGCCGCTCGACAAGGACGAGCGGGATGAGTTCCTGCGTCGTGAGAATGAGCTGCAAGATCAGCTTGCTGAGAAGGAAAGCCAGTATGCCGCGGCTGAGAAGTCTCTCGGCGAGATCAAAGAGGAACTTGTTTTCCTTAAGGAACATGATAGTAGAACCGGCAAGGAGAACGAGAAACTCACAGCAGAAGTCAACGAGGTCAAGATGCAAATGGAGCGCTTGAGCTTTGAAGGGAAGGAGGCACAAATCACGATGGACGCTCTGAAGGAACAAAACTCGGAGCTGACGGCCGAGCTGGACGAGGTCAAGCAGCATCTCCTTGATGTCAAGATGAACGCCAAGGAGAGCGGAGCACTTCTCGACGAGAAGGAGAAGAAGAAGGCTGAGAAAATGGCCAAGATGATGGCTGGCTTTGATCTCGGCGCAGATGTCTTCAGCGACAACGAAAAGGCCATCGCGGATGCCATCAGTCATCTAGAGACCCTGCGTGAACAAAGCTCTGGGGGCGACGCTGTCGCGCCCGAAGAATTCCATACCCTCAAGTCCAGATTTGAGGAGATCCAGAGCATCGTCCGCCAGGCTGAGCTCTCAATCTATCGCTCATCCTCGAGCGAGGCGGAGACTCGCCGCCGTTTGGAGCTCGAAGACCGGCTTGCAGCCGTGCAGGAGGAGTATGAGTCGCTTTTGACTCGCAATCTGAGCGAGGCCGATGTTGAGGAGGTCAAGGCCCGTCTGGAGAACGCTTATTCTAACAAGCAAACTGCATCTTTGCAGGCTGTGGACGAGCTCAAGGCCGACATTACCCACAAGGCCGCCGAAAATGGCAGGCTTCAGACTCTGATCGAGGATCTGCAGCAGCGGGTCAAGGCCGGCACCGGCGCGCCCATGGCCAACGGCAAGACAATCCAACAGCAGATTGCTGAATTCGACATCATGAAGAAGAGCCTCATGCGCGACCTGCAGAACCGCTGCGAGCGCGTTGTCGAGCTTGAAATTTCGCTCGACGAGACGAGGGAACAGTATAACAACGTCCTTCGGTCATCGAACAACCGGGCTCAGCAGAAGAAGATGGCCTTCCTGGAACGCAACCTCGAGCAGCTGACACAGGTTCAGCGACAACTCGTCGAGCAAAACTCGGCCCTCAAGAAGGAGGTAGCTATTGCTGAACGAAAGCTCATTGCTCGCAACGAGCGCATCCAGAGCCTCGAGAGCCTGTTGCAGGACAGTCAAGAGAAGTTGGCCTCTGCGAATCACAAGTATGCTGTCCCCTGTACCATCCCTATTCTTGTCGGCGGTCGTTTCCTTCCTACATTTACCAGGCCCCGGTTGCACTGGGGCTACTAATCCCGCGCTCCCCCGCCTCGTTATCGCCTACAATCCCAATATCCTCTGCACAGTAGTCTCTCTATTCAAGACGTGTCTAATTGGTGGCTTGTAGATTCGAAGTCCAACTCGCCGCAGTCAAAGAACGCCTCGAGGCAGCCAAGGCCGGCAGCACGCGCGGCCTGAACTCGCCGTCGCTCGGCGGTTTCAGCTTTTCCGGCGCCGGCAGCCGCATCGCCAAGCCCCTCCGCGGCGGCGGCGGCGGCGAGCCCACAGGGCCCAGCATCCCCGTCATCAATAACATTCAGCAGAACGAGGGCGGCAACAAGCGGAGCAGCTGGTTTTTCTCTCAGAAGTGAAGGGGATTCGGCGACGAAGGCGACCCGTTTGCATACCAGCAGCGTTTCGTCACGGTCGACGAGACAACAAAGCGGAGACTAGGTGACGCTGCTCAGACCGCCTTGCATCTGACACTTCTGAGTTTGGACACTGCATTAAGGCTGTGTGTTGTTTGTGGCACATGGCCTGACTGTTACTCTCCTCGTCTTCTTTGTCACTATACCACATGAGCAGAGTGGCGGTTGGGAGGTACACAGAATTATAGATGTGACGGCGAAGCGGGCATGAGAGCGCGGACACATCGAGCGGAGACAGAGGTCACGGCAACGCTGCTTTGACTTCACGAGTCGTCAGAACAAAGTATGTGCGGCAAGTTGATGGATGTGATATGCTTGTCATCGACGGCCTAAATCAGAAGAAGGGGAAGTGGCTTTTGGCACGATTACATGATGACTGAGAGCTCGAGAGGAGAGATAGACCAGAGGCCCCCGTTCCTGCATACATGCCGGACTTCAAGTGTTATGACAACAGAACTCATGAAATAAAGTGAATGGATGATACAGCTCCAAAGCATGTAAGTGAAGTGTATGCGAGAAAATCCAATCAACACCAAGAAAACATGACTCGACAGGATCAATTGCCGGCTCCCTGTCACTCACGGTATGGCTACTTCCAAGAGGAGCATTGGACATCTTCAGAGTTATGGTCTGTCCATCTGAAGGATTCAGTCTGTCCAAAGCGCCACTTTGACCGGAAACTCAGTAGGTATCAAGAGGCAGAGACGTTTAATGCTTGCGTGAGCTCTGTGCGTGGAGGAGCATATATTCGGGTATCATCACAGCAGCCATGATGAGAATGCCAGCGATGCCAATCAAGAAGACTTTGACGTAAAGCTGGACAAGACGGCGCCAGGCGGCGGCGGAGAAGGTGTTCCAGGCCTCAGTCATGCTGACATAGCCCTTGCCATCGAGGACAGCTGGGACCACGGAGCCGCCAAAAGAGCGGTCGAAGGGGATTATCGTGTCGTCAGCCTCGGGCAATAGCGAGGCCTGAACGCGGACGAGAACAACGTGGGCTGGAATGACAAGCAGAACAACAACAGCGAGGCTCGCCAAGACAACAACGACGTCCTTCCAATTGTTGTGATTTGCGTTGATAGCCCGGGCAACCAGAGAAGGCGTGAAGCGGGCGATCTGCGTAACAAGCCACAATAGGGCGACGGGTCGAGCTGTAGCATCGAACGTGCGGCGGAAATCGGGCATGCGTGACCAGAACCGAATAGGAGAACGGGATGTCATGACGATATGAACCCATGCGGTATCCAGCTGAACCAAGGCCAGGGAGGCAGGCAGGAGGGCGAGGAAAGCAAGGCTGGTGGGGAGCACAAGCATAAATAGGACCAAAATGATGGAAGTCAGCAGCGTATAGGCGAAATAACAGGAAAAGCCGCGGAAGAAGGCACCGAATCCGCCATGAGAGCGAACCAGACGAGTGGTGGCACGGATGCTCGAGGTAATGGGAAGAGCGCGGCCAGTCGGGGTGTGGACAACAGGAGCACGGCTAGCAGAAGCGCGGCCAGCAGAAGCGCCAGGAGCATCAGGGACCTTCTTCGGGCTGTTGTGGAGAGCTGCATCATCAGCGAAGGATGCAGTCTCGTCGTCATCTAGGGAGATTCGGTCGTAAGCAGGATCGTTCTCATCTTCAACCATGGCTAGCACGGGAAAGACTCGTTGGAAGGTGTAGAAGGTCTATCAGGTCAGTCGAGTTGGCATTACAGGTCTTACACGATTGGCACGACTTGAGAGACATACGATGATGAGAAGAGGGAGAAAGATGATCCAGTCGATGAGAACAATAAGCAATGACCAAGGAGGGAGCTGATCTTGTGAGGTGTTGGTGTCCCTCTTGGAGAGCGACACCGGACTGTCAGCGAGTCTTCTGTAGACAGCGGTCGCGATAGCGACGCCGGAGCTGACGGGTAGCATGGTGGCTAGAACGCAAAAGGTGAAGAAGAAAGCAGGAATGAGGTTTGTGAATGAAAGCGATGCTCAAGAGACGTAATGTTGGGGGGAAGCTAGAGTTCGGAGGTGAGTTATGAAAGTAAGAATGACTGATGAGAATGAACTGCGAATTGGCCTTGGTACGTGACAACAGTCGCGAAGCGCCAGGCTTGCGGCACAGTCGGGTGGGGTCGTGCAAGGCAACAGCTGCACAGCCCCTTCCAGCTTCCATCGCCACCTGCTTACCCGTCTACCTAGGTACGTAGGTATCTACCTAACTACCTGCCAGAGGTGAGGTAATGTACTTTATTCTAGGTACCTAGCAGCCTGTCATTGAGCTTACTCCCGAATTACCTAGGTACCTGTTGTGCCACTGATAGTTGTTTCAATTCAGGGGAATAGTGAAACCTCGCCCACGCCTACAGGAGCCTCTTCCTATCTACCCTTTCAAGGTACCTAGGGTCGATACGGGATAGATATAGTGTCTTCGTCCAGACACCCGGTAGCAGCCGCTGTTCTACACCATTACCCTGCCAGCGAAGCCCCTTTGCACATTCGCCACCAGGTACCAAGCCAGAGAGAGTCCTGCCCACCTTACCTATCTACCTTAGGTATGTATCTTCAGGGCTTAGGCAGGATTCTCGATATTCAGCCTTGTACCTAGCCCCTTGGCGGCTGATGCCACGAGACATGCCAAGAAGGCAAGGCGCAGGCCGGGTCTATGTTCCATTCCTTGTGACATGAACGTGCCGCCAAATACAAGCAGACGTTGTAACGTGGCTCTCCATTTTATAGGCACAGCGTATAGCTGCTTAGCTTCTACGAGGCATCTTTTGAGCTCGTAGGGAATCTCATACTTGCTAGACTTCAAGAAGACTTCACCGATATGGCCTCAGGCCTTCGGCGCATACTCCACATCTAACGAGACCAGACCTTGATTCGATGACCACCTACACGTAACCTCCCTGCTAGACGCTCATTTCTTGCATGCTAGGAAAGCATGCAAGTCAACATCGAATGTGCACATGGGGAGGCGCCGCAGATAAGCAAGCAGTAGATCGCTACAATAAAAGGGCAAATGGCGGTATATCGGGATACAAGCCTTAGATGGCAGATCGGATATTGATTACAATTCGCTCGAGCGTCCAAAGACTATGACTCCCATACTCTATATCTGGTGTTCATTTTCACCATCATACATCCCAGGTTAAGAGTACGAACTCTGCCTCAACACAGTACTTCTGCTTTGAAAGCCTTGAATTTGTACGAATTTAGCAGGTTCCTAAGTACGACTGAAGAAGCCCATGCATGGTTCATGAACCGGTTGCACACGCCACTAAACTAAGAGCCAATTTTTCTTGATGCACAGGCGAGAAAGTGTATTATGGGCAACCCAGATGACGTAGCGCGAAGATTGCGACCTCAAAGATCAATAACAACCATAGTTCAGGTGTCAGTAATACCTACCTTAAGAGCTACATGTCTGTGGCCCACTTGTGACACTGGACAGTGAATCAGCACCCCACCCACCCAGAGCTACACTTGCATTCACTCTACCACTACATGCTACAAGCTAGCAAACAATACACAACAGTGAAGGAACTCGGCCTACTGAGAAGCGAACGAACGAGCATGTCTCATGATACGATACCCAATCTCCTGTCACTCCGCGGAGCTCGTTCTGCTCGCGGGCGTGGTCGGACCGCAGGCCCCCCAGGCTTCCCCTCGCGAGCCACCAATGACCTGGCCATCCAAGGCACTGACGATGATGCGGCCGCCTCCCGTCTTAGTGCCGTCTCGCTTGGCTATCTCCAGGACCCGTTTGCCCAGTACTTTGTCGAAACACAAGCGTCGCTGGCGCCACGTCGTCTGCCTATTATCAACAGAGGCGAGTTTTGTCCTTCTCCCTACCGACATGCCGTTCTCGTGCTTGAACGCAGGCTGACCTGGTGGCCAGGCACATACACCAGGACATGTGCGCTCAACCAACTTGTAGACTCATTCCTAGCCGAGGATGATCGTTCGTTTCCGAGCCAGTCGAAGGAACGGCAGATCATCTCGCTTGGCGCAGGCACTGACACGCGCATTTTCCGTATTTTCGGAGGGCGGGCGTGTCACAACCTGGTATATCACGAGCTGGATTTTCCCGTGACTGTAACCAAAAAGTCGCGCCTCGTGTCGGCAATACCTCCGATGAGGCGAGTCCTTGGCGAACAGGTGCCGCAACCGGATGGATCATGGAGCTGTCGCCCGCCTTCTGGCGGAGAGTACTATTGCCATGGCATTGACTTGCGTGAGCTACCTCAAGGCGGGCATTCGCAGTTGAAGGGCTTGAAGAAGAACGTGCCTACGCTGCTGATATCAGAATGCTGCCTTTGTTATCTCGAAGCTTCAGCTGCCGAGAATACGGTCAAATGGTTTACAGAACAGATTGAGAACCTCGCCTTGGTCGTATACGAGCCTATTCGGCCTCACGACCCATTCGGGAAGATGATGATTTCTAATTTGGCGGCTCGAAGGATAAGGATGCCCACGTTAGAGAGCTACCCCTTGCCAGCGGACCAGGAGGCCCGGCTCCGGACTGCAGGCTTCAAGCATGCGAGCGCGCAAACTATCGAGTACATTTGGGAAAACTGGGTGTCGTCCCAGGAAAGAGAAAGAGTCAACGGTCTTGAGGGCCTTGATGAGGTAGAGGAATGGCAATTACTCGCTGATCACTACGTCGTGGCATGGGCTTGGAGAGGCGAAGGATTCGGTGGCTGGCAAGGTGCCCGCAACAACGAGGAAAGTAGGTAGTGTTCCACGGCATAGCTCTCCTAGAGGTGTATCGTCTACAAACGCAAGCCCGAAGGTGGGGCAGAAAATGCACGTTCGAAACCTCGTCTGAACTAGTATACACCCATACAAGGTAACAAAAACAGTCTAAGAGGACTTGCGCTCAAATGCAATCCACTGGCCTTCGGCAGGCTTCTCCTCCAGATCTTCCCAACTGCAGATACGTTAGCGTGAGTTCCAAGAGTACGTGCAGTAGTCCAGCCTTACACTTTGGACCTGACCATAGTATCAACCAGGCCAAGCTCGCCTTCAGCCACCTGGATGACCTCTTCAATCAGACCCGCCCCGATCTTGATCTCAAGCTCGGCGATCCTGTATCTAGTCAGTATCGATATACCCGATTGACGCGCCAGGGAGATAGATGTGCGTACTGGTCCGCCGTCAGCTGCGGCTCCTCCTTCCACTGCAAGGGTTCCTCGGCTCTGAGATCCTTGCGCTCGGCGAGCACCTTCTGGTCAGCCCTCTCGGCCTCCGTCCTCAAGCCCTCAGACCCAGGACCCTCATCAGCCTCGCCGTCCCATTCCTCAAGCCGAATATCACCCTCCTCGTGCTGCTTGCGGACAATAAACGTCTTGTTACCCAGCTTGACGATCCGGGCTTCACTGCCGTCGAGACGCCCGCTGGCGACACGGAACTGCTCAGGGTTGCCACCCAGCTTCTGGGACAAGTCTTTGTTTTCGGCGTTCCACTCCTCGTAGCCCGGCGGCACGGCGGCCTCAACGAGCGCGAGGCGGTGCTTGGTCACTGCTTCAACCGATTGGCGGTAGAGGGAAGACTCGGGCATCTGCTTGAGCCTGTCGAGGGTGCTTCCGTAAAGGTAGAGCAGTGCGGACCGGGGGCTGTTGTGCGTCCAGAGACCTGTGAGGCCTGTCGGGGTGCCGGGCTCAAGGTAGCGCGCCTTCTGGACGCTTGCCAGGAGGCGGAATGTTTGCCGCATCTTTATGGGCTGTCTGTCGATCGTCGGATGCGCGAGGGGTGGTGATAATTGGCGGTCGTGATCAGGACATCCAATGTCGAGCGGCAGTTGAGCTCTGGACCGAGTTGTTGGTTAGACTTTCGATGGTCAATTGGCGAAAGCTGATTGGTAAAGTGGAGATGCTCTGGAGGACGATGGTCCATTACTAATGATTCACGTGATGGCCAGTTGCGGGGACCCATAGTTTACGCCGATGCGCGTGGGCCATGTTCAGTCTTGTCTGAAGTCACGGGGGCTTGAGCATCAAGATATCGAGTTCCGCTCCCCCAAACTTCCCAGCAGATGCAAACATGGGCATGCCAATGGCGGACCTCCAGTGAGATATCGCATCCATGGGACTCACTCAGTAGGCGACATGATCTCCTAGCCATCAATGATTCCGCTTGATTTCAACAGTATCAAGGCGAGAACCTCTTGAATCTCAGCGTGTTGCTGTTTATCCCAGTCACATCAAGCACGCGCGGCATGTCAGTGGTGCAATTGTTCACAAGTAGGAGAAGCTTTAGCTACTACGGAAATGGAATCTCGTGCACACTTAACAAGCGAATGCGACAAAAAGAGGTCATGCACGACCCGGCCGTGCCATCTTACAAAATTGTGGGTTCCGATCCCTGAGTATCGAAAAATCAACAAGAGCATTCCGGCTGCGACTTACTCCCGTTACGCGGCATTCTCACGACTCTTCCGGTAGCTGGTCTATTTCAATAAGTCAGCAGTCCATGCCATTCGCAAAAGTCATCGTACGACATACCTCTTGCTCCACCTGGAGGCCATCCACGACAGGCGCCAGTTCGCTTAGGATTTCGTAGGCCTTCTTGTGATATTCAATCTGCGCCGCGATTAAGTCTGCCAGGTTGCGAAGAGGCTCGGGGGTGTCGAGAACCTTCATCTTCGAATTAGCCTTCTTGATCATAATCATGTCAGACAGCCTGGTTTCTTACATTCTTCATGACGCCAACAGCCTCCTCGGTCTGTGTAACGAATTCGTCCTCGGCCTTTTCAATCTCCTCCTGGGCCTCAGGGCTAAGCTCATGAGACTGGGGTTGGTCACCCTGTACGGAGCCCTGGGCGAGCTTCCAAGTAGTGCCGTGAGCACGAGCCTTGACCGCATCGAGTGTGAGGCGTGCCTTCTCGACGTTCTTGCGAGCGCGAGCGGCGAACATGAGGTTGGTGTTCAGAGTAGTTGTCCAGCTGTTCAGAAAGTGGCTCTGGATCTGAGCGTCTTGCGCCAGACGAGCCTCACCGACACTCTCCTGAGCGAGAGCATACTTCTCCAGAGCCGTCGCAAGAGGGTCTTCACCGGCACCGGTGTGCTGCTGGTGCAGGACTTGGCTGCTGGACAGACTGGCGCGTGCAATCGCATGGTTAAAGGTCTTGGGCTGCGGCTTTGCAGAGGGGGGGGCTGTCAAGGCGGCTTGTGCTTCCGCAGGGGAGCTAGCTGAGGAAAGAAGGCTGACCTTCTCACTCACGGTACGGCCAAGATCCTGGAAAGTCTCCTTCAGATTGGGGGGGTAGTCGTAAGCCTCGTTAGAGTATTGAGACCTGAGCGACACGTGTCAGCTAGGTCCAGTGGGGGGGGGGATTCGGTATTTGGACCGTTGTAGAACCTACGTCACGGCCAGCATCTTCTGATGCACAATCTTCAAGGCATCGACGCGCTTCTCCAAGTCGATATAATCAGGCGGAAGTTGGGTCTGCAGAGGAGGGGGGCCTAGGTGTCAGAGCGCACCCTAAGAAACGCGAATTGAGGTGATGTGCATCGATCCATACCTTATCTTCAGCCTGGCCAAGTTGCTCCTTCGTGTATTGGAAAGTGCGAGAGGCGAATGGGGTGATCGAAGCCCCGAAGGAACTATAGCAGTATCCGGTCAGGTCACGGATTGTGGAGTCGCCCAGTCGAGCCAGGAACAAACTGGATATACGAGTGAAGCTGGACTTACGTGATATTCTTCCCAAAGTTGCTGAAGTCCATCTTGAAGTATCTCAAGCGCGTATTTTGGGCTTATGAACGAATTCGCGATGGCTATTTATGGCAGAGCTCGATCTGTTGCGAGACAGAGCGGTTTGTTCGTCGTGATATGAGGTGCTTGTTGGCAGCTGGTAATTCCGCAATAGAAGGTTGCCTAAGGTAGGTACCTAAGGTAGGATAGTATCATCACAAGCTCTCCAAGGGGAACTACGTAGTCCAGGGATTCAAGGCACGTGCGCTGCACCCCGATTGCCTGCACGTGATCGCGCTAATGTGAGCGCGCCTCTGCCTTGGCAGGGGTTACATGTTCACGGTCTCCACAGGCTCGACAAGCGCGACAGCGATACGATCAGGTAGCTAGGGTCACCAAGTCCCTGAATTGATTACACAAAGTGGCAATCAGCTGCCCATGGCATTCTTCCCTAGCTGTCTTATTGCCGCTGCATTGTATTTACAATACTTCTAATCCTCTTCAAATGACACCTCTCGTCAGTCAGCAGCGCGCTGCTTATCCTCCCATGATGGCTCAACTCGGTAGCAAACATCTTGGTAGTCCTTGAGCTTTGGATCTCCCAAAGACAACCGCGAAGTTGTCCAGAACATCGTCCAATTCGATTCATTGAGCTTGCATGTACCCAATGATCGTTCAAAGTACCACTTATTGACCGGATTGTCTTTCCTGCTTCGCCAGCAAACACCATCAGGGAAACATCCTCTGACCATGGCGTTGAAAACGACATCGGCCACGCCTCCACTGCCCTGCCGACTTCTCAGGACAGCGAACTTATCCAGGTAAGGCACAAAGCGTCCAGTCTCGTATGCAGTCTTGTTATCCAAGCCAGCTGGTTTCTCCCACGTCAATATGGCCCCGCCTTCATACTCTCCAGCAATGATGATTCCGGCGAGATTATCGTTGACCCGGTTCAAATAATGCTGCAGATCAAGCTTGCGACCAAATGAATCCTCGATCAGGTGTTGCAAACGAGGTAAATCAATGCATTTGTCCGTAAGTCTGAGACGAGACGCACCTGGCTTTGGAGGAAGCCAGAGTTCCTTCGTTGGGTCAGGAAAGATGGTAAGCGGCATTCCGCGCTTGACCACTGTCGCGACATGCGTCTCATTGTAGCCTTGACCTGGACTCTTTTCGGTCCGCACGCGTTCGAGCGGCAGGGAGGATGAGAAGACGGGCTTATCGGTCAAGAGATTGTGTATGAGAGGGTTCAGACGGTTTCGAGTCGTGACCGTGGGGAGCGATTCGACAGTCTTAGTAGCAGCCAACGATGGGGTGCTGATGAGCACACTCGACGTAGAGGGAAGCATGGTCAACAAACGTTTGGACAGATTGAGGTTCTTTGCGTGAATCGCATTTGAAGTTGATAGCTGATCCGGGTATAATGCTCCTGGTATGTCGCTTGTTTTGAGCGTTCTCATGATGGGTTCAAACTCTTGTTCGAGATTGATGAACCTGTGGCAGGGACCGGACGGGCCCTCGATCGGAGTGCCGCCCAGAGGGTCGAGGACGATGATCCTTTCGATGGAAGCAATGCGTGCAGCCGCACCAGAAGAAGGTCCAGACTGTGGCTCCAAGTCATGTTGGTCAATGAACTGGAGCCCAGCAAAGTATTTGGTGAGTGCGATGATTGCATCATCTGCGTCCACGGCATCTGTTGTCCCCAAATCTCGAGATACCATGACCGGAGGTATTATTACCACCTCCTCGTTCTGCAATGCTCTGATGAGCACCTGTGGGAATTGAACCACGACGCTAGAGAGCATGAAGCTGTGGTCATGGGTCGACTTTGGAGCGAAAGATTGATCTGCAACTTTGGCTCCTGGAGGCCCAAAGACGTCCAGTGCCTGCTGGAGCCTGTGGGCCTGTTGTCTATAGAGACTTCGAGAGCTGTCTGCTCCACCATCGAGGACGATGACGCTGACAAGTCCAAGCTTGCGAAGCTGCGAAAGGGTTTTTGAAATGCCATGTAAAGCGTCACCGTCTAGTATATGCGGCAAGCGCAGTTTGACGATGGCGAGGTTAAAAGGCTCGTCGAATGAGCTAGTCGAATTGGGCCGGCTCCCTTGTATGAACTGAGGCGCGTCACTTATGGACCGTACGGGCGATTCTGTCGCCCACCCAGATGGCGGTAATGACCTCGAGCGCTGCTCCCCGGGTTCCGCATTCTGAGTCTTGTTTAGAGGGGCGTACTTTCTCAGATAACCCTGTGCATCTCGCCTGGTTGCTGATGCTTGCAGCACAGACACAACAATGTCCTGTACGATGATTGATTAGAAGCGATGCGGTATCTAGAGCAAAGGTAAAGACCAACCTGCCGATCTTCTGCCCTTCGCTTCTCTTCGTTTTTAGGGCCCAGGTTGTTAATGTTTGTCGAGATGCACCTATGCAGAGAGCTATGCCAATCTTGTAGGTGACACCTCCCATGCCAAGGCGTAGAGTTGAACCACAAGCCAAGCAATAACTGCAGGTGCAGCGGTCAGAAGCGTGTACAGATGTATGGGGAACCAAGAAGTCCTCACATGTGAGCCTTTCGGACCTCTCTTATCTGGGCGAAGGCGTTTGAGGGTCATGATGCTTGAAAGAGCATCGCGGGTTATACGAGAAAGGCGGTGCCCAGCTTCTGGTAGAAATGTGCTGGTTTGGGATGAGCGCCCTCTTTAGGTCGAAAAGGTCTTCGTCCGTCCTCCGGCCGCCCTCCGGCAGTTTCGTATGATCGGAAAGGGACACGGTGAAACAGACAAACAGCAACTTTTGCATTTAGATCAAAACTTTTACTCAAGTCAATAGTGCTGCCGAGGTTGCAACGGAGCAAAGGACGGTGAGTCAGCTCCCTGCTTTGCCCGTGAAGACCATGCCACGGACGATCTGATAAGAGGCCTGCGTTATGGCGCACCGACGCATTCGTGCTTAGCGCCTCAGAACATCGGTATGGGTCATACTACGCACAAGGCATTCGCCATGCATATAGATCGAGAGGTAGACTCGGTCTAAGGTTAGGATCGAGCAGCTGAAAACATTTAAGGGAATTGACCGCTGCTTTGACCGCACGAATCTTGTGAAGGCTTGCTCTGTATGCTTAGTACGGTAGGAACCTTTAGGCAGTCCTGGATGACCTTTACGTAGGTTCTGAGACACTTATGCACAAGACCTGACGCCCCCATATGCTACTAGCAGGGTCACCCATTTCGTAAGCCCCATTGCTGCCTTATCCACTGGGCATGTCGCCTTGATTCAGAGGTAGGAAGGCGGGCTAGCAGACGAGCTTGACAAGCTGGACTCGACAACCGCGGTTTCGCAACGACGCAATTGACCTGCAGCACTCCACGCGACGTGTCCAGCCAAACGACCTACCACCACTACCTAAAGCATTCCGAAACTGTCAACCAAGATGGCTCAAGGGTAATCGTGTTTCCGAAAACCTCCAGAAAGTAGCTGTCGTACTGATGCGAACGGGCTACACAGCTACAGCATCATAATCGGGTTCGTGGTCGTGGCTGCTCTCAGCGCGATTGCATGGTTCCTCTCCCCGAAGGGCGAGAATCAGATGTAGGTGTCACGTTTGCGCCTAATCACCATGGCAGACCCGATTACTGACGAAGCACATCTGCAGCATCTGGCGATCCTCCCTCATCCTCGCCTTCGTGAGCTGCTACCTCATGTGGGCCATTACGTTTCTGGCGCAGCTACATCCCCTGATCGAGCCTCGACGAAGCGACCTGAGGGGGGAGTTCCTGGAGCACTGAGGCGGCGAGTCATCAAAGGGGCAGCTCTGGCGGGGGATGGAGGAGATGCCGCCACTGTACGATTATCGATGCACACTTCAACGGCGTTAAGGTTTCGATGGATAGCAGCTCGCACAAATGCGGGTGAATGAGACGAAGATTGCGAGACCCTCGACTATTTAATTCGCCGTATCCAGGCCGAGGACGTGGAGAGCGCGAGCTTTCCTATGGCGCTATGAAATATTGCTCGAGGGGGTCGAAGGCATAGCCTAGTAGATAAATCGGTCAATAGGAGCTTGTATTCTTCGCTGCAGCCTAGGCACGCCGGCGGTTGCCCTATCCACTGACGAGCTGGCCAGCCCAGTTCCTCATATGCACGAGGAGCGCCCACAGGGCCTTGCCGTCGTCTGCTATACTGGTCTCGCCAACCGAGTCAATGCCGCGCAGGCCCCCAATCCAGAGCACGGCGCGACCAACGGCCCAGCGGGCAACAGCACCGACCGCGGCTAACACTGCGGCGACGATATATCCACAGTCAAGAAGTATTCTTAAGGCCTCAATGTTATTTGCCACCACAGCCCACCCAAGCGACCGCGCAGCTGCGGGAACGTCATAACGCCATATGACCATCAGGATTGGGAAAAGTTTGGTCGAAGACGACACAAGTAGGGCCGTAGACACCGAGTTAGGCCGGGGATAGCGGCGGATTGTGCCGAGGACAACCAGTGGCGACAACGGCGAGGACGTGAGGAAACGAATGCTCATGTGGAATGCCAATGTAGAGAGCGCGCAGAGGACGACTGCGCTCCTGTTAGCAGATGATTCGTGAAGGGGGTAGGATTATGACGTACGAAAGAACATGTATTGGTAGACGATCGACTGTTGAGACAGGCTACTCAGCTCATTGCTTGTCTTCGGGTCAGTCTGTTTCTCAACGCGTGCCCATGTTAGGTACACGTCAAAAAGCAGGAGAAGAATTGCCAAGCGAGAGATGGAGGACTGATGAATCAAGAGACTGAGGGTTAGATGGGTTCCGCATTGGAGTAATCGTCGAGTCGGATTCACATACATCGAAGCTGTCATCCTCCTTCATGAGAGTGTTGTGTAAAAGATGACGGTAGACCTGCGGTTTGATCAAGACGAGATCGATAAAGAGGACGACAAAGTCATGCTCTACATATTTGTCGCAGAACCGACCGCAGTTCTTGCATACCGTCAACCGGATGTTATGCCCACTGGACTTGTCTCCAGCCCCAGAGTACTGCGTCCACAGCGTCGGGACTGGGTGTCTGCACTCAATGCAGATGGGCATGGCGTAAGCGAGCGACGATATGGTATGTCTAGAGAAAGCGCCCGCATTCGGTAGCTCCTGGTGGAGGTTGTGTTCGTTGGGTATTCTTGTTGAATGATGTCCCTCCCACTCACCACCCTCCCTTCGAGTGAGATTAGATAAATGGCGATGGGAAATAGCAGCGTCTTCCCAGACTGGTTAAAGTGGTCGAAGCGATGCTTGTGCAACAAAGCCGTGCTGACAAGACATACTCCAACTGGTTTTCTTCTGAGCGCGTCTGTATGTCTGTGTGAGGAGCAGTCGTCGAGGCCTCCGGCTTCAAAGGGACATGTCCCAGGGCTACCCTCGAAAAAGCATGAGCTGCATCAACGACTGGATAACTCATGGCCCGAGTGCATGCCGAAGAACATAACATTCGTGTTTTGCGGGTCAAACAGAGCGGTGGGGAAAGCTGTCAACTTCAGACAGTACGGGCTGTGCGCACAGGTAGCTAGCTCCTTTGGGCCTATTCCTTTCGTGGCCGATACCTCCTGAGAGGTTACGTCGTCTCCCAGCTCAACAACGAACGCCATTCATCCAACGATTCCCCAGGCGAGAAGCAGACCTGAACGGCCCATCTTTCGACTACGAAACGAATGCCACTGGCGGGTCTACAGATTATCTGCTATCAGACATAGTCTTTCGCCCAACACAGCGCCCTCAACGCTTCCTATCCGTCCTGGCAATACGCTTGGCCAACGTCCCTCCCTCGCTACGATAACGAACCAACCCCGAGGCGCCACCGGAGCCATCGTCAACGACACCCATTCCGATGCAGCGACAAATGTGGCCAATGCTTCAGGACGCTTGTTGAGTCTTGTCCCGTTTTCCAACGTCCCGGACGCGAACGTCATTGTCTGCGGCGTCGAGCCATGGCAGAATCTCGCCGGGCGCCGTCGCGCCTCGGCTCATCAGCTCTCCTACCAACTGGTCATGATGCCGACACGACCGCTGTGCGTCCTCGAAACCGCCGCCTTATCAGCACTGACGACAACACGGACGGCATTTTGTCGACTGCCAAGAGCTCCTCGTCGCTCTTCTCGTCCTTCAACACCCTGTCGAGTCGCAACCCGAGCCCGCTGCCCTTCAGCCGCCCTGGCATCAGCAGTGACCATCGGTCTACCAGCAACCCGCCAGACAATAGAGGACCCAAGGCCCGCAACCATAACGCCCTTGGCTTGTTAGAAAGCTCCCTGACGCAGAGCTGGACGTCGCTCCAGGGCTTCGCCTCTTCACTGATCACAGGCGAAACTGGGCCCCCTCAGTCCAATGGCAGACAGGGATCCAATCAAAAGGGACATGCTGGCAGAAGTAGGCAACTATCCAACACTTGGGGACCACAGCCTCTGTCGGATGCGCGGCCAAGTGCTCAGGACATCGCCGCCGGATCACTGGCGCAAAGACAGGCAGCACTGAAGGCTGTGAGAACAGCCGCGATACTGGAAAGCCATGAAGGAGTGAACGGCGGCTTGGATGTCGCTGGGAAGTACAAGAGGAGGACTTCGGACGAATTTGGGGCAGAGACGCACCAAGAGGAACCGCCGATGGACCAGCTGGTGTATATTCACCATGTGCAGCCAAGTGACACATATGCCGGAATTGTCCTCCGCTACCGGTGCCGTGAGGATGCATTGAGGAGGACGAATGGACTGTGGTCTAGGGACGTACAGATGCGCCGGTGGCTGGCGCTGCCAGTGGACGCTTGCGAGATCAGGGGGAGGCCTTCCGAACCGCCATCGCGCCTCCACCAGGGTGTAGACTTCTTGGCTCCTACCCCTGACGCGAAAATTGGCGCCGAGGTGGTAGGCAGTAGCCATACGCGTGGCAACATGTCCTCAGAGGAGGCGCACCAGCAAGTTGACTTTTTCAGTCTACCGAAGACTCAAACGCCAGTCGACTTGGCCAAACCAGAAGACCCGGGCGAGCCATTGTGGACTCACGTCCGGTGGGTTTCTCTGGATTCCTTTCCTCAACCCGTCGAAATCGCTAGAGTGTCCCGAAAAACCATCGGCTACTTCCCTCCGCGGCGCAAGAAGAGCCTACACACAGCTTCCACAATGACAACGCCGAGGCAGTCTCTCGACGCTTCAGCAGTCATGGAGACATACGAGGACAGCCCCGGATGTGATAGTACATTGTCGTCAAGAAGGCTGAGTGCACTCAGTAACCGACCCGTCCTGCCAACAACGCCCGGCCGCTCGACGTCAACCTCTGCCAGAAGCCGCGGCGGCAGCACCGGCACCGACAGTCGTCCGTCGTGGATGCGCCGACCTGGCGGTGTCGGCTCCATGGGCAAAAACGCACGCGCGCCAGGTCCGGAGAACGACTACTTCAACGCCTGGGCCAAGAAGCACATCCCTGCCATCGCTATTGATGAGCATCTTCCGTCCATATCCGTCATGGGCTCCGAGACGGCACGTATCGGATTCGGGAAGCAGCAGGAGCAGTACGACTCTTCGGTCATTGTCGAGAGCCCTTTTGACGAAGGCCAGGACCTGACGACAGCATCAAAGCAGGGGTCAGGACTTGACCGCGCTGCCGCACAAGTTGAGACCTGGCTTCGTGGTGCATTTACGAGGCGTCCGAGCGCGAGTACGCCTGGCGCGGGAAGGCCACGAGGGAACCGGCAGCTTGACGATTTGGACCTCATAGAGTTGGCGGATGCTACTAGCGAGGATGGCAGGTTACTCGGCCCAGGGGGGCCGGGCCCTAGCACAACTGACCCGGTAGGCTCCGAAGCGGTCAGCTCAGAGGAGGCGACGAGTCTTGCGCCTGGCGCCACAGTCAGGGGGCGCGTCGCGCACGCATACAATGGTTAGGATGTAGATTGAGGCACGATTTGGCCCTGCATTGGGAAAGAAACGCGACTACAGTTGGGGACCAATCGAAGGTCAGGCGTTAGACCGCGCGCCCAAGGTGTATGTTCATTATCTAGCATTGAAGGCGTTGAGCGCAGCATGATTAAGTCGGTTTTGGGTAGTCCATTATTCTTCGTTTGTTGAGTCACAACAAGGCTTTCGCAACGCCTTGGTACTGATCACTACGCGAATGCCAGGGGCCTTTGGGAGCTACTGAACACCTGACGAGTTTTTAACGTAACTTGTAAGCAATGTTCAGGCAACCCGCTCTTCTCTTCCCTCATGCCATTTGTTCAGCACAGCGTGCAAACCCTACGAGACCACACTCTCCCGTTCCAATGCAATGATAGCTGCTTTGCGTGACGAACATGACATCTCTTCACTTCATAAATAGCCGGTGACGAAGGCAAGGCGGGCTGCATCACACCTACGTTTGATTTTGGTTGAGATCAATGTTCAATGATGCCAGATCGCCGTTATTGATGCCAAAGAACTGGAACCTAAAGTGCCACTAGTCAGTTCACGTATCTAGGGAAAGAAGACGAGCAGCTCACCAATCTTCGACATTCAGGGTGTTCGGTACTGCCTGACCTTGGGCAGAGCCTGTACTCCAGCTGTCACTAGGGCTTTGTCCATCCGGCACGAGACCGTCAAAGTTTGGCTGCCATAGGCTACCAGGTCCTTGTGGAAAAGAAGTCATGTTGGAATGCATCATGTTCTGCTGAAGTGGGCTTCCAGCCAGCCCTGGTTCGTTCGATGAACGCGATGGAGCAAAGGCTCCCTGGGTCGACTGTCCTTGATGGGGCATGTTTCCCTGTTGCGCGTGAGTGTTGCCAAATTGAGCCATGATATTGGGATCGACGCCTTGGTGGTTCTGAGGAGGTGACATTTGTGGCATTGCTGGCATCCCAGCACTATCAGGAAACAGTTGGTCAGGCTGGAAATTTTCCCACAGCGACTGAGAGATGTTGGGCGAGTTGCGTGTCACCAGATACAGATCTGGTGGCGTGGCGGGAACCGAAAAGGATGGGTTGAAGGGCGTCGCAGGTCTTGTATGAGGCCGTGACGACGTCCCGCCCATAAATGTGTCAGGATTCTGCCTGTGGCCAGGTGAAGCCAGCGGTGGCGCCATCGCCACGTTGTTGCTCTGTCCTTCATTCTTCGATATTAGACTGGGTGTTTGTGGCCGCGACCGCTCATACGATTCCTGAGGCGTTGGAGTGTTGACACTGAAATCGATTGCCATGTCATCGTACTTCCGTTTAGACATGTCGGAGTTTGTCCGTTGTGGTTGTTGCTGCTGTTGCTGTTGCTGTTGCTGCTGTTGCTGGTGCTGTTGTTGTTGTTGCTGGTGCTGCTGGTGCTGGTGCTGCTCTAGCTGGGCCAGCGTTGAGTGCGCTTTGCGATGTCTTTTCCCTGCTGCTTTCTGGAGACGCTCCTCGAGTACCTTGTTCCCAATGATTGACTCGAAGAGTGTGTAAACCATCTTCCCCACGAGCCAGACGCGTGATACTTCCTTGAGGGCCTGCATGCATGTGCGGAGTCTGTCTTGGGTCACCTGCTGGATGGACGGAACCGGCGATCGCATCTGATAAACATGCATGATGAGCGCCGAGAAAAGGCTGTAGACCACAAATGCTGGACAGTAGCGCAACTCCTTATGAGCTGCCAGGTTCTCGATAATGGAAGTAATCATCGCGGCTGCTTGGAAGGCAATGTTCCGGGACGGATATGGCGAGTCGTCGGGAAACCGAGTAGCCACGCCGTTGGGTGGCATGTGAGCTCTGTGAAGGAGGCATAGGGTTGTGTAGTAGTTCGAGTGCAAAAGCGCCGACCAAAAGTGATGTCGCGCAACCTCCCAGTACACAAGCTTTGGGCAGTTCTGTAGCCAATCTGCCAAGGCCATGTCGCTGTGGGTGAGGTCGATGGCGTTGCGTTGCCGTCCCTTTGAAGCCACTGAGTACTGCTGAGAGAGAACCAGGCCCATAATCTCGCATAGCTTGACGTATTGCATAAAAAACTGCACGTGAATTGGATCCGGAGGGTATTCACTTGAGCGATCGGCTTCGTCCTCGATAAAGTCGTCCTCGGTCAACATCTCCACATCCGAATCGTCCAGATTGATATGGACAGGGCGCCCCAACGCCACGGCAACAGAGCGGTCACGAGTGAACAGTGTCCACCAAATGCGCTTCCACAGCCTCTTGTCTGAACGGCTTAGCTGGGACTGCTCGACGCTGCGATGCATGCCGGATCCTTGGGCGACAATAGTGGCAACACGGCTCCAGTAAAAGACATTTTTGGTCACATCTTCTGGCCCCTCCCAGTACCAACCCATCAGCAGCAATGACTGCACAATGGTAACCCTGTCATCTTCGTAATTGGCATCATACAGGGCTTTCGCTCTTTTGTAGAATGTAAGAGCAGCAGGCGTGGTCGAGCCGTTGGCGTCCATCAGCTGTGGATTAGTGCATACACGCGAGCCGGCCAGCAAGACTGCTTGCAGCAGCAGCAGAGAAGGCGGATTCTTGGGGTCGCGGTACTGCCGCATGAAGCGGGTGCGGTTTATAACGGGGACGATGGGATGAACCCATTTGAAGTACGAGTCGATGAGCTCATCGCATAGGGTTCGTGGTGGCAAAAGAAAGGCACCTCGTTGGTGCAGGATATCGATCTCGACATTGTCGAGCTCCGTCAGCCTGGCTCGGGAGCCTCGCACGTTCTCGGGCAAGGGATAATGAACAACATCAGATGAGCCTTGCCGGTCGTGAACGAGGAGGGCGAGGTTGGACGATTCGCCTAGGTAGGCGACGCGGCCCGCGTCGGTGATGGGGGCGCGAGTGAACTTGGGCTTCATGACCAGGTTCACGTAGGTGCCATTATCGACCTCCTCTTTTCTGGCCTGCGACTCAGTGTATGATATGGGCGGGGTGCCATCGGTCGAATGGTAAACTGTCGGAGTACGCGGCGCATAGGTCGTCGGGCCAGTGTTTGCAGTGGGCCTTGGTGAAGGCTCATCGGACAGGGTGGTGGGAGGAGGGATGGAAGGCGTTACTTCACCCTTCTCGCTGTCCGAGTCTCTGTTCCCGCTTGAACTCTGCGGCTTCTTCCTTTTGGGGTTGGGGATGCGACACTCGATCTGGAAGGCCACGCAGTTGGTGCATGGCACACCGAGGCTCGCGGCATCGCATCGAACCTACGGTCCAAGATCAGCCAAGAATGCGAGAAAGCCATCATTGGGAAAATGCAATACCTTTCTCGCATGACAAGTCTAGGCGCATAATCGGTCAGCACACGAATCGAAAAGCAAAAGCGCAACCAGTAGCATTCAGAATCATATGGTCAAGGCCAGGACCATCGGCGGGGGGTCGCGCTTTTGGGAGGACGTTGATGAGAGCGGGTGCGAATTTCCTGCGAGATAGATGCCTCGGCTCAAACACGCGCGCGCAACTAAGGGCGGGGAAAGGATGCGAGAGACTCCACGTACCTCGCATGCTCTTGAAGCACGTTGCCTTCACACAGAACAGTCATGGTCAGCTAACGGTCGTCTTTACATCGCGAATTCGCCTCGTTCCGCACAACTGTGCGACCGTGACAGCATCTTTCACAGGCGGCGATGGGGAGGAGGGAGGGGTGTGGGATGCGAACCTCCTAAAGCTCACCTGCGCGGCGGCATTGATGGCCGCAGCACTGTTGGGCGGCTGGTTGGACGTCTCTGATTGCGATGGCGAGTTGGAGCTCGGTGGCTCTGTTTGATTCTGATGCTGTTGCTGCTGTTGCGGGTGCGCCGCCGGGGCGTCCGACGAGGACATGTCGACGTCCATGGATTGTATTGTAGGTTGGTCACTGGGATCTCGCCGTGTGGCTTCCAGTCTGGTTCTCTCTTAGCTGCTGCGCGTCTGGCCTGTTTGCCCTCTTTTACTCTCACATGCGACGGATGGGTCGGGCGGCCTGCGGGGGGTCGATGCGCTCGCACTGGGCGACAGTACAGTGGACAGTATGGGGCCTAGACCGCTTACAACTCAATCGTCAGTCGTGTTGGAACACCCTTGGAGTCAAGGATGGACGAAAATGTACAATGAGATATCCCAGGTATCGGTTACCCTTTGAGATCAAGGATTGTTTGCCTATGTCGATGTCAAGGACAGATCCTCGTTGATCAGGCTTTCTCTGTATTCCCTCTCATGCCAAGTGTCTGTAGTAGACAGGATGTATAGGTAAGTACCTAGGAAGGTAGGCAAGGTAGGTAGGTAGGAATGGTAAGGTCAGGTACGGAGGTCAGCAAGGCGGGCATAACCGACTAGGTACGTAGGCACGAAGGGAGGGGCTTGCCCTGAGGCAGCACCTTAGGGGCCGGGCGATCTGCATAGCCTGCTTTAGGGTGCCCTGGTGTCTTCCGACTTCTCCTGGGAAGAGGCTTGGCCTCTGTCCATTACCAGGTGGTGGGTGCGTGGTCATACCAAGCGGGGAGGTACTTATTATCTAGTTGCTTTACCTGTAAACCCCAGGTACTTCATCCCACCTCTCTCTGCATGATACCCATGTTAGTAATCAGGGGGCGCCCAGTGGATAGATAGATAGGGTACCTACCTAGATGCCTAGTCAGAGTACGCGTAGGTGCCTACCTTGTCGTCATAAGGTACCTAGGTAGGTAGGTGCGTTAGCACAAGGAGGAGTGTCCCCCTCCCACCGGGACCGTACTGGGCACCTAGCACTGTCTAGCTTCAAGCGCCATAGTGTCCTGTCCGAAGGACCTACTTACCCCTATTTAGGTACCTAGGTAATTACCTATCTAACCTAGGCACCTGGGTGTGAATAGGTAGGCATCAATTAGCACAAGCTCTCTTGATGTCCAATCATCTCGACTAGATCCCAGGGCAAAGCTGCTCAATTTCTGTATTACAATTGTTCATCTTCGGTTGAGCCTACAGACGGCTACAGATGCAGTACAGATCCTGTGTCTGCCTTGCGTTCCTGTGGTTTCACAAGCTTCAAACTTGAATCGGCCACACAACGTAGAATCCAACACTCTACCCTGGCCCCCTTTCCGCCCTCGTCGAGACTCTCGAGAGCGACTTTGTAGTCTTACTGCTTTGTAGTCGGCAATCGTGAAACTATGTATTCCGAAATCAAACATCAAGATTAAGCCATGATTGAGAGTATTAACTTTGAAAACAGCACGTGTGTGTGCATCCTGAGCCATACGTAGAACGTACACTCCATCCCATGCATGTGAGTTCGAGCCTTCACTCCCCGAAGCCTCAGTCACCTCGGTTCTTTGCGTGGTTCCGGCTGGTTCATCAACCTATGGTTCAGCGGGTTTCGACATGCTGCTCATGTTGAAGCAAACCAAACGATACAGAACGTTAATGCATAATTATTCCGAACAAACTGCGTCTTTCTAAGGCACCTCACAAGGAGGTGCAAATGTCAGTCATGGCTCTGACAGTACCTGGCAGCAGAACACCCATCGCACTGGCACACGGTAATGTCCTTCAGGTAGGTAGGTACCTGAAGCAAGTCGGTCCAAATGCAGACGAGCCGGCGCCTGCGTGCCTACGACACCCAGTATTGAGGATCCTGCTACGGTCACCCGCATCTATTACCCTTTCAGGATTCAGGAGCACCCCGGTCCTGTACATAAAACCTGTCACATGCCTACCAAATCTGTGCACAGCCAAGAACGGTGGGACTTTCCCAAGCCTCACCGTATCATCAGCCGACGTGATTGTGTGGTGGGAGGAATTTGACATGTGCTCCGGTATCCGATCCGTTCTCATTACTCCTCAATCATGCCGCTTAAATCCTCCGTACGTTCCCGTGCCTGGTATTGTTGACATCGCCGGCATGGGCTGATGGATTGGGATTAGTTCCGTGTATCCTCTCGCTGGTCGATCAAACCCTAGTAGCTCATCATGGGCGTTTGTTGGTGATCTCTCCACCGTTGGCGCCCACCTCTTTCTTTCTTGCGAAAGCCTCGTCGACCAGGTCGTGACCATCCACCTCAATGCCCGCAATGAAACGCCCACTGACACCTTCCAGTAGCGCTACAAACACACACAACAGACTGGCGATGACGAAATGGCTGATTGTTGAGCCGATCTCTAGCCATGACCCCTCGTCTTTGACAACCCAGAAGAAGTAGAGGGTGAGAATATCACTAATTCCCATGACCAGCATAAACAATGCTGACGGCGCCACCCCCAGCCTCACATTCAGAATGCCAAGGTTGGCGGATATGAGCGCGAAAGGAACCATTAATTTGACAATAAGCAGGATGCCCTGCCAAAGGGGGTCGAATACCGGCATCAACCGATTCACACTTTCCAGGCTGAAAGACGACACGGAAGCTACGTTGCCCGTGCTGAAGAATGCCGACTGTAATAGAACGAAGAAGAAGAGAGCCACGCGGGCATCTGGAAGCCTGAGTGGTCGATAATCCTCAACTTTCGACTGAGGTGAGCTGTTCTCTCTGCCTTTCGTCGTATGCAGGCCCCTCTGTCGAAGACGCTCGGAAACATGTGCGTGATGCTCAAGGCTGACCCACGTGACGAGGAGCGTGCTGAAGGCTACATAAAACAATCCCTCATACGAGATTGTCAAGATGACGAAGGTCGGCGCGCATGTCAGGAACATTACCATCAGCCGGTGAATGTAGTTGTTGTTAGGCTGTAGTCTGTGAGCGAGCGGCATGAGCATCGACACCACTGGCACTGAATTAGTAATGGTTCTAGGCACTGGCCATTTCGACATACCCATGACGATCCAGCCTGTGATCTGGTTGCCTAGCGGCAGACCTTGCCGAGCCTGCAGTGAGAGAGAACTAGAGCGTGTGACAATTACTGCCAACAGAACAAGACCGACCTGAACCCCTGTCAATGCCCTGGCTATCGGTAGGTTCGTCGCTGTCCTTTGTATTGTCTGATCTTTTGTCGAGGGTGCGGCAAGAAGTCGATCCTCGAATCCGAGATATGCCAAGCCAATTGCTGCCATTGCAAGGCCTCCAAGTACACTGTGTCATCATCAATAACGAACGCTAGGAATCATTAAACTTTCACGATGAACTTACACAAAGGCTGTGTTCTCAACCTTGTTCGCAGGAAGCAGCGTAAAAATACTCATGACCAGGCATGACACAAACCAAAGTAGAGAAAGCAGGGTGTGCCGCTGTAGAAAGCCGATGCCGTATGTTGCAGGCCAAAGGCTGCCGAGGACGTATAGGCCAGTCAGAACTTCGCGGTGAATGTAGCCCAGGGCCTTGTGCTCTCGTTAACATCTTGGCTCTCATTTGAATGGGTATACCACTCACCAGGGACACAATGACGCCAATGTAACCCACTCCATTGAGTAGAAACGACGCAATGCCGCCACCAGTGGCTATGTGCCCAAGCAGAACATGTCGGCCTCGGTCAAGGCTACGACGACGAGCATAAACTTCTTCCCAGAACACAACGGGAAAGAAGGCGTATGCGTAATAAGTGAAAGGAGAACTGGAGATGAAAAAAGATGCATAAAGCACGGCCAGCAAGGACGTGCTAGCGAGCGTTCCCAAGGCTGTTCTCGATGGAGGCTCCGAGCCATTCAACACGTGCAAATCAATGACGCCTGTGAGGGCAAATGCTATCCAGCCCAGGTACCCAAGTGTGATCAAGGTTCGTAGGAAGAGCCAGTCGTAGGTCTGGAGATATCGCAATCCGTCTAAACCGACTTTGATCAAGGCTGCAGACTCTTCAATCGCTTCCTCGTCTCGACCTGCATCGATAAGGTTCTGGATCTCGGCCACGCGCTGTTCAACGCCTTGGTTTACGCCACTTAGTGGACCAAACGGCCGGTAACGAAGTTCCTGCGTTCGTTTGCGCTCCTCTTTGACGCGGTACATCTCCAGAATCTCGCGCGCGTTGATGAGAGACGCTCGTGCCTTCTCCTTAATACTAGAGGAAAGGTAGGGCAAGGGAAGTTCGCCAACCGAGTTCACCGGGAATTCGGTGCCAATCAGGTGGGCCATCAAGGCCGCAATATCAGCCTGAGACACATCATGACGCTGGACATGATCCATATTCCAGTCTGATGAGTACTCATCATGGCCGGGTGCAGTCGTTCCAGGGTGCAAGCGCGGCGTCGCAATACCCGAACCCCAGGTAATCAATGGCGTCCGCGTATTGTCAGGGTGACCATCGCCATGGCTTCCCCAGTCGCTCATGCCGTGATCGGCGGTAAAAACGAAGGCCGTTCTATCATCATCGTAGAAGGCTTGGATCAGTTCAGTAATTTCCCTGACGCCTTTGTCGACAACCTTAATATTGTTCAAATACTCTTTCGAGTATGGGCGATATCCATGTCCCGAGGTGTCTATACCGAGAAGGTGTAGGAAGAACACGACTTTGTCCTGGCGTAAAGCCGCACTGAGTGTGTCGTTTCTCTGTGCCTCCTTGAAAAAGTCTTTGACATGATCGAACACCCAAAGATCCAGCTCTATGGCATCAGACGAAAAGTCTTCGAACTCATGGCCGTACGTGAAAGAGTCGACACGTCCAGGTACGGCGCCTTGTTGAAACATGGGTAAGATGTCGGGGCTACCCCAGCTCCAGGTATGCCGACTTCTGTTGAAGACGCTATCGAAATTGACGGGGTTCAATTTCCAGCCAGTCGCGACGGCCGACACATCCTCGTATAGTCCGGCGATGAGGGCAACATGGCCTGGTCGGGACTCGGTAGGTACCCGGGTATGCGAAACCCCGAAACTGCCATGTTCCAAGACGCGGGAGCGTAGAAAGGGGGCGAGGGGGCGAGGGACGAGATCGTCGTCTGTTTTCGGATAGGGATCTGGAAAGGACTGGAAGGCTTTATCGGCACGTAAGCCATCTCCTGCGGCCAAACAGTCAGCGAGACAGACCTCTGGGTCGAGCGAAACCAAACGAACCAACGAAGAGGACCAACCGGTCGGCAGGTGCCTTCACATCTGGCGTTTGGCGGACCCCAATGAGTCGCATACCAGAAACGACGGGACTGACAAAGTAGATGTCAAAGATAGAGTATATGTACACCAAGTGGAATACCACGGCGATGGCTAGGAAGCCAACGCGGGAGAAGACGGTCATGGCGAATGGGAAACGAGGCTTGTTAGTTGGATTGGTAGATGCAGAAGAAGCTCGCTCAGAAGGCAGCCATAACCAATGAATGACGAAAAAACTAGTCGACCAAGCCAGAACCAGTGTAGTAGGGGAGAAAGAGTGTATCACTGGAGGTATGCGCGACTGTCGGGGGGAAGGAGCGAGAGGTATAGCTAACAAATGCTGGAAACAAGAACAGCTTTCCCTAGATTTGGTGCCTGCCTCAATGGCGCGCTAGGACACCTTACTGGCAAGCTCAGGGCGTGACACGGCGCGCTGCACCCATTACATTAGCGGGGCCTCCTCAGGGCGTGGGGTCCCGCCACCCGATGACCTAGGTAGCTCACCTCCATGAAGTTGGTAAGATGGGTACCACGTCGATTTTTGGATGGACACAATGTTGTCTGTCTTGAGTAAATGCCGCAGCTGAACCGTAAGCATCGTTACTGCTTTTCTCCTGTTACTGAATGTTGTGAGCTAGGCGAAAAGGGACATGGGTTTGATTTGCGTTGTCCATCAGGGTGTTGCATGTTGTCGTGTTGTCCCTGACACGGTTGCACCCGGAGGGCCTGTCATCGATGACACTCCCAGACTTGTGGCTGCGTATGGCCTTTGACCCAGGCCGATTTCATTCATATGGCATTTTCCCAGTGTATCAGAGGGCAAAGACATCATAAGTGTCGTGTCAGACTACAGAAAGATAATTCCTAAGGGGTATCAACCAGACTCCGTGACAACCAGCTGCTTCCAGTCGACCAATTCCTCCCTCCCTATTCTATCGATTTTGACTGTAAGCACCCTACTCGGGAGGTTCCATTAATGATTTAGAGACTCGAGCGTAAAACTTTGCTGCTTGAGGGCGGGGAAAGGTAATCTCATCCGTCAGGAACTCGGGAAGGAGATTGATAAGCTCTCGATCGCGGCTCTCGTCAAGTTGAGGCATGTACGTGAATTGTGCTTCCTCATAGCTTTCGCTGGCGACCTCGTTTTGGACACATAACTTGAAATGAAGAGCTGCATCGGTTACAGTATGTCAGCTGAATGATCCCACAAGCCTTGCTAGGATATTGCTTACTACCGTTCCTTCCAGTCTGAAGACAGTCAAAGACATCTTCAATCGGCTCGCGTCGGACGTTCCTCACAATGAGGCCCGTCAAGTCAGCATAAAGGTCATCTTTCATTTGTGCCACTTGAACAGCATCTGGACCAACGACAAGTGCAGCTGAAGAGTGATTGCCCTTTGTGCCACCGCCCGGAACTCTGGCAGTCGATGCATCAACCGTCCTGCTTGCGGATAGTTTTGCAGACAGATTCTTGATTTCTTTTCGAGCTTCGGCCAGCGAGGCGCTCAACTCTACTACTCTTTCCTCTGACTGGTCCAGGCGGGTCTTATCAATCCGACCCTCTCTCGCAAGCCCTCGTTGTATTTCAAGGTCCGCTTGCAGACTGGATATGAGAGCACTAGCGACTTGGCCAAGGTTAGCAATTACTTTGCGCCTACTAGAGGGCCATGCTCACCTCTTGCGCGCTCTTCGCTCTGCTTTTGTAGACGATCAAAATTGCGCTCGGCTTCCTTGACGACAAGCTCCCGAAGATCGCAGTACTTGGTCTCCAAACTGTCGCATTTGTTGTTGAGATCGCCTATGCGGCGTCGCAGTTGTGCGGAGCTTGCCTCGCGACTGGGAGAAGAGGGATACTGCTTGCGAGGGCTCAGAGAGAGGGCCCTGGAGGAATATTGCGCCGGGGACAGTGGAGGTTGTTTGGGAGACTGGTCCATCAATGGGCTTTCGATCTTCTTCTCCAATTTGTTCCCAATATCATCAACAGCCACGGTGGCCATCTGTTGCGTCTCAGGTATCTCTGCCAGCTGAGAAAGCGGCGCATCTTTCTTCGAGGTAGAGGCATTCTTTGCCTTTGGGGGACGGCCTCTTGGCCGACCAAGCACAGGCTTGTTCTCTGTAATCGTAGTGTCGCAACCTGCAGCGTGCACGGATATGTCTCCTTGTGCGGATCTGCCTCTCGTAGTCCTCTCGGCGATGTGGTTTGTACTTTTCTCTAACAAGGCTTCTCGCGCAGCAATTTCCGCGATCGCTGTTGCCCTCTTACTCGTACGACCAGATGAAGCTTGCGCCGGCTTCGTCACCTTGTTCGCCGCTGGTCTCCCGCGCATCTTCTTGGGTGTAGGCATTTTTTGTTGAGTGGCAGCGGGAACCAAGTCGAAGCTCATGAGACAATCCGATATTTCATCAGTGTCAGAATCTCGCAGAAGACCCAGTATGTTGGACTGGCGTTTCATTTGCGACATCAAGGAGGGGTTGCAACGTGATGTTATGTTTGTTGAAATCAGGAATCGAGCTCGCGTAGTGAGTGGAGCCAGTGCCCAGCGCATTCATGAACTAGCGCATTCGAAAACAAGAAATCTCTTGGGAACCGAATTGCTATCGTGAGAAGAGGAGCGAAGGAAGAATATCGAAGAGTGCAATCAGTCATTTGTTGTGATAACATATGATGACGGGAGTTGCCTTTTCGGGAATCATGTCAACACACAAGGTCTCAAGGGCCCCGCTTAGTGCATCAACTGTTTACAATGTGAACTAGCATGGACCTTGACGCGCTTCGGTACCGCCATGTGACAGCCCCACCAAATTGGAGAGCCTGCATCGCGGATGTGATTCCGCCCGATTGTTAATTCCCGTGACGGAAATCACTTCGCATCGTGTCGTGAACGGATTCAACTCGCAAGTCACATATATGTGCTAAAAGTGTACCACGCGGCTTCCTCGTTACATCGAGTCGGGGAAAGTTGAGCATCTCCCAGCTCCTCCCCATCACCGCTTGTTCTCTTGCATTCGAATGCGTCGTTTTGTCAGACGTTGAAGCTGCGCCAGAAGCGTCAACCTCGGCCAACTACACTCAAGATCTTCTATCGAACACGTGGAAATGGCCGATCGAAGAAAGGGTCTTGGCGACTTTGCCATGGATATTCTTCTCGTCTTTGGCACCGTGAGTTAGAGAGGCTGATTGTCGTCGCGCATGTTTCTGCTGACACGTCAAAGATGGCTGGTGCCATTTACCTAGGTCGGAGCTTCCTATCATCACTCGAAACCACTATGGCCGATCCTGAAAAAGAAAAACATGAAAGAGCAAGAATAAGAGCGCAAGAGCATCTTGAGAGATTAAGGAAAGGAAAGCGCAATGGAGGCGACGATGTCGAAGAGAATCCCGGCGACAATGAAACGCAGCGACGAGGACCGAGGCCTGAAGATCTTGTGCTCAATGAGTACGAGAACATGGTTGCATTGGAGATGGTGGCTCCTGAAGACATACCCGTCGGCTTCAATGGTGAGAACTTAGATGCGCATCACACATCACAAGACGAGGACGTCTGGGCTAACGGTACCTAGACATAGGAGGCCTAGAAGACATCATTGAGGAGGTCAAGGAGTCGGTTATCTATCCTCTGACCATGCCTCACTTGTACGCTCACGCCGCTCCTCTCCTTTCGGCGCCATCTGGTGTGTTATTCTACGGAAGCCCGGGATGCGGCAAGACTATGCTGGCCAAGGCTGTTGCCCGTGAGAGTGGCGCTTCTTTTATCAACCTGCACATATCAACCATGACAGAGAAGTGGTATGGAGATTCGAACAAGATTGTGCGAGCAGTCTTCTCCCTGGCACGCAAGATGCAGCCGGCTATTATCTTTATCGATGAAATCGATGCTGTTCTTGGCACCCGCCGAAGTGGAGAGCACGAGGCGAGCGGCATGGTCAAAGCCGAGTAAGGCCTCCACAACTCTTGCGTGAATGATGCGGTTGCTTATCATTGTTGGCAGGTTTATGACACTCTGGGACGGTCTCACGTCTGCCAATGCGTCCGGGACGCCGGCGCAGATTGTTGTATTGGGCGCGACCAATCGCATGCAGGACATAGATGAAGCCATTCTGCGGAGGATGCCGAAAAAGTTCTCCGTGCCGTTGCCCGGCAAAGAACAACGGCAAAGGATCCTTCAGCTCATCCTGCGGGACACCAAGAGGGATGCGGAGCATTTTGATATTGATTACCTCGCCAATGTCACGGCCGGTCTGTCTGGGAGCGACATTAAAGAGGCCTGCCGCGACGCTGCCATGGCACCAGTTCGGGAATACATGCGAGAGCACCGTGCCAGTGGTAGGGCAGCGTCCAGTGTCAACCCTGCGCATTTCCGAGGCGTACGCACGGAAGACTTCTTTGGACGGCTCGGCGGGGGTCAAATCCTCATGGAAAATCACTCTAGGGAATCGGCGAAGACGCATACCTGGCGGCCATCGCCGCAAGAATACGAGGACATGGTGGAAGATGTGGACGGTTCAGAGGAGGAAACACAGAAGCATCGTTGAAAGGAGTTTATGGTTAAGATATGACTGCATCGCTTGTGGTCACAGGGCGGTGTAACAAAAATACAACCATGGACTGGTGTTGCGAATCAAGTACATGTAACCTTCATTCAGTAAATAGGTGGACATGGTACACCAGACCGGGCCGGGACACTTGTCCAGTCATCTGCGCCTGTGATCACGTCATGTCTGGGGCCCAACGTGCCCCACGATTCCGTGCTCCCCGCGCCTCCCACCAGCCAACCAGCATCGCTCACACACTACATGGCCCCAAGCACGCATCGCCTCTGAGTCAATCAGGCAAGAGCCGGTGAGGGACCACTGAACCGAATCCCCATTCTCGGAGCTGCATCGGCGTCACACTTTCCATCTCCCACCTTTACACATCGCACATCACGTCCCCAGTCAACTCTGAGCTATACATACTTGAGCGTCCACCCGAATTACTTCCAATACACTCGGGTACGAGTACGCCGGTGCTGCGAGAACCTATTTGATCTGCTGAGCAGTTCAATTGTCTTGCGGCGACAAGTCTGGCTCGGGAAAAGACACGAGACCAGCGGTAGAAAGTACTCCTCGCTCTTGTTCTCTTCGACACGCTTGAGCAATTCGAACCGATTCTCTCCTCCTCGCCAATCCGAAAATTTCGTACACAATGGCCGCGCAATCGAGCTTCAGCGGCGGCAACGGTGGACCCTCAAAGCCGAGCGAACTCTCCAAGCGTCTTGACTTGGATGGTCATGATCTGCCCCCTTCACCTGCTCCATCCAGCCCTCGCAACGGTCGTCGCCGTTACGCACTGGCTACAGAGCTTGTGTATACAGAAACCAATGACCAGTATGGCTCCTCCAGCATTCCCATCTATCAGTCGGCCACTTTCAAGCAGTCTTCCGCCCGGGGCGGCAACAGCGAGTATGACTACACTCGGTCTGGCAACCCCACTCGGACCCATCTTGAGCGCCACATGGCTAAGATCATGAATGCCTCACGTGCCCTCGCTGTTGGCTCGGGTATGGGTGCACTGGACGTCATTACCCGCCTTCTCAGGCCCGGCGACGAAGTCATCACCGGCGACGATCTGTACGGTGGAACCAACCGCTTGCTTGCGTACTTATCCTCCAACCAAGGTATTGTGGTGCACCACGTCAATACCACTACTGTCGATGCAGTGCGCGACGTCGTATCGGACAAGACGGCCATGGTGCTCCTCGAGACCCCGACGAACCCTCTGATCAAGGTCATTGACATACCTTCGATCGCGAGGGTGGTACACGAAGTCAATGATAAGGCGCTTGTCGTCGTCGATAACACCATGCTCTCCCCCATGCTATGCAACCCCCTGGATCTTGGCGCCGATATTGTTTACGAATCCGGCACCAAGTATTTGTCGGGCCATCACGATATCATGGCCGGCATCATTGGTGTCAACGATGCCGCAGTTGCCGACAAATTATACTTCACCATCAACGCCAGTGGTTGTGGATTGTCGCCCAACGACTCCTTCCTATTGATGAGAGGTGTCAAGACCCTGGCTATCCGAATGGAGAAGCAGCAATCAAATGCGCAGCAGATTGCCGAGTTTCTCGAGAATCATGGCTTTCGTGTGCGGTATCCCGGCCTCAAATCTCACCCTCAGTACGATCTGCATTGGTCGATGGCTCGCGGTGCCGGAGCAGTGCTGTCCTTTGAGACAGGCGACGCCTCACTGTCCGAAAGGATTGTGGAGGCTGCTCGCCTGTGGGGTATCAGCGTGAGCTTCGGCTGCGTCAACAGCTTGATCAGTATGCCTTGCCAGATGAGTCACGCGAGCATTGACGCCAAGACCCGCAAAGAGCGACAAATGCCCGAAGACATCATCAGACTCTGTGTCGGAATTGAAGATGTCGAGGATCTCATCGATGATCTGTCACGCGCTGTAAGTTGTTCACTGCAGGCAATTGACCAAGCAATGTAAGCAAGCTAACAGAACCCAGTTGGTCCAGGCCGGAGCCGTTACTGTGACGCTGGAGGGGATCCAAGCAAATCCAGTGGCGGCATAGATGGATCATAGAGATGGCGTTATTACAAAGATTGAATTCCGGGTGCTGTATGAGATTGGACAAGGGACGATTCACGAGCTGGCTTTCCAGGCAGCCAGTGGGAGCTGAAACGGCTTTCGCCAGGTAGCCAACAAAGAGCGTCGAGAGAGAAAATGTTGATTATAGAAGTCGACGCCAGCATGCCATGCCTTCTTTATTTGTGTCGTAAGAATTCAAATTTCAAACTGAAGGCCCACCAAAGCCGATCAGGATCGTGACATGAGTACGCAGGAGTGACAATCAACCATGCCGTCTATCGTCGATGATATACAGGCCTTGCTGGTAGACGTAAATATGATCAGTTCTTACAAAATGGGACAGTTGTATTATCAACGTATAACCATGCAAACAAGCCTTATACACTATTGCTCACCCAACAAAGAAGAAACCCAACAACTCCTAAAAGATGCGTTTTCTTGGAGAGCAAGAGAACCTCTACGAAAAATCGAAACGATCGGGCAGAATGACAGGGGCTACAAGGGTCCAGGTATACAAAGCGTAGCAAACCCAAGCGCTGACGATCTTGATCCAGCTCGCAAAGTAGGTGCGTCCAACAGGAGCAAAATCGCCATCCTGCTTCGACTGATCGAAGCTCATCGCAAGTAACGTAGCGATCCAGGCAGTAGCGAGGAAAAAGATGATGTGAAAGACGCTGTAGTTGTACTGCGTCTGCGTTCTCTCGTCATCGCCAGGTGACTTGTTGCCGGCATCGCTCTCGTCGTCAGATAGGAGGGCATCTGCTGGAAGACTCCCTTCTTCAACTGCGCGACGCAGGGCCTCGGCACGCATCTCGCGGCGAGCGCCAGGCTGCTGTGTAACGAGATCGTGCTCATCATCCTCGGGAAGCCGGATCGCGCCATTGGACCCCATGCCAAGACTCTGAGTGGCAGCGCGCGTAGTAGTATAAGCAACGGTAAGCATCGTAACGATTGCGCCTATGACGATCGATGTTGTCCGGGTTCCCTGGGCCCGGATCAGAGGGTTGCATTGTCTATCATCGGGTTCCATAGACACAGCGGACATGGTCAGATATGTGCAGTACACTGCCACCATCGCTGCTTGAGCGAGACCAGCCTTGGGGTTATACTCCTGTACTGTCGGATTGACGGAGATGAACGAAGTGACGAGCCAGAAAATAAGGTTGATGGTAATGGCAGCCTGGTTCATTGCACAGCCACCCTTGGCGAAGAATATGTACATGACAATAGTCATAGCAAGGGAGGCAACGTACATGCCCAGAGTTGAACCGATAAGGACAGTTCTCCAGACCTTTGATTCGGTGTTTTCGATTTGCTCAAGGCAGTATTCAGCCCAGTTGTGCGCGAGGTCGACAAGTAGAATCAAGCCGAGTACGAGAAATAGCATAGCAGCAAACAGTGCGATGTAATTGCCCCAGACCTGAAAGAATTCATCAGGAATGAGGAACGAGAGAACAATGAGAGCCAGCCATGCGATGACTTTAGGGCCCCAGTATCCGTTTTGTAGAGCAGCGCGTGGGTTCTTGGAGGATGTGATGTTGAAGAGCAGGCCGGCAAAGATGAGATGGAAGAGACCGAGAGCGAAATTGATGCGGTGCATGGCTAGCCAACCATAACATTGGCCGGTGGGACAGTCGATTTTAACATAGTCGAGTGTGAGGTGTTCGAGTTTCTTGATGGCCCAAGGCGTGAGCATGATCCACGAGAGAATCGAGTTGACTAAGAGGAGGAGAGCGTAGGCGATGCGGGTGGCGACGCTGAATGAGAAGGGTAATCAGCGTACGTTGCGCATTGGAGAGAGCGTGTTGGAGGCATACCTGTTGCCACATTTACCGCACGCACTGCACACAGCAGAGCATGTCGCGGCGCCGCAACAGCTGGCAGCGAAAGTGACAACCTATGCCATGTTAGAGGGCGGAGGCGTCCCGACGTAACAACGACATACCGAGCCTATGCTGGGCACCGCCATCAGCGGCAAAGAGAGCAAAGCCCCCATGACCAAGAGTCGTTGCTAGTTTGTGGCAATAAGGGGTGTGTGTGTATGTGTGTTTGTGTATTTGGGACAATGTATGTTGGTGTATCAGACAGGAAGCCTCGAAGTCGCGACTGAAGGACGCAGTCGCTGTGTCACGACAGCTGGGCCGCTCGACACATCTCGTTGATCACTGGGTATCCTTCCATGTGGATTCTGGGGGGGTACGACTCCCGATCCCTATTCGTTGTTACCAGGGTTAGGACTCCACGTGATTCTAGGATGTCTTACCTCACCTTCGTCAATGCGGCATGACACAGACAAGTAGGTACGTCAGCTGCCGTCCTCTCACTCAGCCGACTACGGCAGATGCGACAGTTGGACCTTGCACTGGCTCCGCAGCCGGAGCGAGATAACAGCAACCCGAGGGATGCGCGTTATCTCTTCCCGTGCTGTCTTCATTGTGGCCGACTACAGGTTATCATCGCACGCCGAGCTAATGCCAAACCCGAACGCCAGTAGCTCTCGTCTCTCGCAGGTCGACAAGACAACATTTACAGATGACTACGTCGCGAATTCGCGACGACTTTCAATCTCGTTCTTCCGGCCCGGCTAATTGAATGATGTCCTGAACGAGCCGACCTGGCACCTTCCATCACGATAGTTCGACCCGCACTTCGCTTCACCAACACCATGACGAACAACTCAAAACATGCGCAGCTCAATCAAGCTCGCATAGTCGCTAGCATCGCAGCGACGGTTATTTCTCTTGCATGCGGTACCAATGTGAGCGCTCAATACCCGGAACTCTTGCCCGTTCTATCCTATCTTCGAGCTGACCTTCACCTTCTCTCAGTACGTCTATTCAGCATGGGCTCCCCAATTCGCCGACCGGCTCAAATTATCGTCTACGCAAAGTAATTTGATAGGTCTTTCTGGAAACCTGGGAATGTACTCTCTCGGCGTACCCATAGGCATCTTCGTCGATACCAAAGGCCCACGCCCTGCCGTCATCGCCGGCGCTATACTACTGGCATCAGGCTATTTTCCATTGCACCAGGCTTTCGATCATGCAGCTGGTTCTGTTCCCCTGCTTTGCTTTTTCTCGTATCTCACGGGTCTCGGAGGTTGCATGGCCTTCGCCGCGGCTGTCAAGACCTCTGCCCTCAACTGGCCACATCACCGTGGCACCGCAACAGCATTTCCTCTGGCCGCCTTTGGCCTCAGTGCGTTCTTCTTCTCCTTATTTGGGAGTGTTTTCTTCCCCGGAAACACAAGTGCTTTCTTAGCCACCCTCGCTATTGGTACATTTGGTTTACCGTTTGTCGGTTTCTTCTTCCTTCGCGTGCTACCTCCTACCGGATACCGCCCAGTCGCACGTCCAGATCCTCTACTGGGCTCTCAAGAGCTTTACAGGACCGAATCGGAAGAGGCAAAGCACCAAGCCACGCACCACGCACATAATACTTCTCGTTTCGAACCCGGTACGTCACCTAGCACAAGTAGCCCTAGCGGCACAGTCGATCTGTTTCATGGTGGGAATGTCCGAGGTACAGAAGCTACTCATGGGCACGATGAAGAACATGGCCTGCCTGACTCAACTGACGGCCCCGAACCTGATGAGACCTCTTCATTGGTATCAAGTGCATCATCAATGCCCGGAGACGTTGTTGTGCAGAGCAGTGTTGATTTGGATCGTTCTCATCGTATAGATATTCGTGGTTGGCAATTATTGCGCATGATCGACTTTTGGCAATTATTCTGTGTCATGGGTATTCTCACCGGGATTGGTCTGATGACCATCAAGTATGTTCCCCTGATACAGCAGCTCAGTTGGCGACCACTCTTTTCCCAATATAGCTGACAAATTCCACAGTAACATTGGGCATACTGTTAATGCCCTGTGGCGCCACTGGGATGACACCGTCGACGAAAATTTTCTTATTACTCACCAACAGCTGCATGTCTCCATATTGTCGATCTGCAGCTTTACGGGACGTCTTCTTAGCGGTGAGTTGCATAAATTTCATGAACAATGATGGTCCTTGAGCTCATACTTGTAGGCGTCGGTTCCGACATCATTGTCAAGGTGCTCCGTGGCAGCCGCGTCTGGTGTCTCGTCATATCCAGTCTGATCTTCTCCATGGCACAAATTTGCGCATTGAGCATAGAGAATCCGCATTTACTGGGTTTTGTATCCGGTCTATCTGGCCTCGCGTACGGCATCCTGTTCGGTGTCTTCCCTTCAATCGTCGCTGAGACCTTTGGCATTCATGGGCTCAGTCAAAATTGGGGTCTCATGACACTTTCGCCCGTCATCTCGGGCAATGTCTTCAACCTCTTTTATGGGTCTGTTTTTGATCAACACAGTGTAATTGGTCCTGGCGGAGAGCGTATTTGTCATGACGGCCGTGGGTGTTACCAAGCCGCCTACTTGGTCACACTGGGTGCCTGCGCATTAGGAACTGTTACTACGCTGTGGGTCATTCGCCATCAACATGTCACCTGGGCCAAAGAGGATAAGGGGGAGCAGGAGGACTGAATGTGTTTTCCTTCCAGACCTGTACATATATGTGGACGTAAATAGACGGCATCGACATGAATCTACACACACGATCAACCGGATTTGTTGACGCGTTGTATTGGTCCCACTCCTTCCCAGATCCGCCCACCGGGCTCCTTTCCTCTCACTCTATCCGTTTTCGTAACAAGTGCTCCATTATTGCGCAGTCGTGTAGAGAACTGGCAAGTACCTCCTCTGAAACTCAGTGTGACGCGCTAATCACTGCGAATCCGACAGCACCTTGCTCATAGCTGTCCCTCTTGCTCGTCGCTATGTATGATCCTTTGAAGTGAAATGCACGAAAACTCCGAACTAATGCCTGTTACCCTTGTAAACCATCCAGCGCCGCCGCTGTTCCTGCAAGTATTATCTCTGAGTTATCTGTACAACCAGAATAGAGCTCGAAAGGCAATACATTCCATGACCCGAGAACCGAAATGATAGCGCAAAAGAAAGAAAGAAAGCAAAAGAACCAAAGTACAATAGCGAGTTGTGCCCTTGCAGGACTCTGTCCATAGCCAGACAGGCGTACTGAGTGACCTCTTGCAGCCCATAAATAACAAACGCAAAGAATTCGCCCGCCGCTTGTTGACATGAATACCGAGTGCTCTTTTACGGACGCTTGCTGCCTTTTGCATCGAATGATTCGCGAATGTCAAACAAGGAGTTCACTCCAGTGAGGGACCAACCATCCGATGTCGAATGAATGACGACCAACCAAACAGCAACAAGATTGACCAGATAATGCAGCATGTATGCATATGATATGCCGTAAATGGCGGCATAAATAGCTGTGCTGAACAGGAAGATACTTGTTAAGTGCTTTGTCCTGCCAGCTAACCGAGGCACCATTTTGCCGGCTGTCAAGTTCTCGACCAGGAGAATGAAAGGCATAATAGAAAGAACGTTGTGGTGCGAAGAGAAAGGGGTGAGCCAATGAATTGCGAGGTTGCGTATCCAAACGGCAAGTATGGGTAAATTGATCGGTAGCACCCATAGCATGAGAAGCAGGATCGAATGGGCGTAATTGTAGAAATCATGGCTTGCGGGAGACCCGATTTCATTAGTGATTCGGAGAGCGCGGACCGTGGTGAATAGTTGAACCAGGCACGCGACCAGGTATGCAAATTGGTAGGGTATGAAGGTCGACACCAAGAAAAGAAGCACAGCAGTGGTAATCATGCGCCGCCTAGGAGATGATGGAACAAATGCTGACGTCGACGCTCGACGACGACCATCCTGTCTTTGCCAAAGTGGGCGTGCCATGGTGTACCCATAAAGCAAACCGAGTATGTGTGTCAGAGCAACGGTGGCGAGGTGTATAGCCACACACACACCAATGCATACAACACCGATAAGAGGCACTAGGAACCAAAAAAAGGAGTCCCGCGTGCCAGTCAATAGGTCATTGCTGTGGAAGTCGGTTGTGGGAGCATTTGCATCCCAGGTGTCCCACAATATGCCTGTGGCGGACGTCTCGGATCCTCTCAATGATAACGAGAGGAGTGTAAGCGAGAGCAAAACTAATGGCAAAGATTGCTTCAGGCAGCTGTCAAGGCTATCTGAGAAGGAGATAAACACGCCGGTGGAGTCATAGACCCGAAATTGCTTCCGAAGCACCAGAGACACTATAAGGAGTGGGAAAGCAGCAAAGACGGTTCGATATCGAATGACAAGCTTTCCCAAGCTGCCCAAGATGTCCACAGTAAGCCGAATCTCAAGGCTAGACTCGCAGGTTGGGTCAGTCCAGATTTGAAGGCTGAGGCCTTGGTCATTGGCGCAAGATGGTGTCAAGGGAGGCGGCAAAAAAGGTGCAGCGCCATGCATGCTCAAGTCTACTCTTCGCGCGTTGACGTAGAATCTTGACTCGTGAGGGTGGGCAAGATATTGTCTGATCATTGGCGAAAACAGAAGCTGCTTGCTACTGCACGCTGGACTATGGATTTCGAGATGAAGGGCGACAAGGCTCGACTTGAGATTTGGGAATTTGACCTCAGTAGTCATCGGGCGATCCCCAGGCAGTGTCATTGTCAGGCCAAGGGCTGCCAGTCGCCCGGCGCCCACGGTCTGTATTCTTTTGGCTTGAGTTTCGCTGCTAAAGTCGGCCACAACAAATGCACTGGTGGGTTTGGCGGCTTTGTCAATGACAGCAACATAGAGGTACTCAGCAATGTCCTCCATGTCATACTGTAGAAAGATAAATGGCAGATGCCCTTGGCCAGTCTTGGACACAAATGGCTGAGCCGTGAGATCGGTGGATGCTGGCAGAAGTATTTGGTCGGCTGCCGCATTCTTGCACAACAATTTGACAGCGTCGACCTGATCGTTCAACGGTCCAAGCTTTAGGTGTACAAGCTCCGAGCTTTGAAGGGACTGGTGGCCAGCGGGGCTGCAAAATAGTACCTCAAGATGACCATGCTCGCTGGGGGAGTCCAGAGGACTGTTCGTGAGCAGGTTGAATTGTATGCCATTTGATAGTCGGTCAGATGGTATGCGAAGCAAGTGAGCCTCTAATTCCGGCTTTCCACCCAAGTCTCGGAGTACCAACTGCTCTCCATGTGCTGCGCTGGCGAGGAAATCGTGTCCAACGGTAAGAAGCGTCGTGGGTTCATTGTTAGACAGTGCCTTCTCTGCAGACGTTTCCATGCCGGTCAGGAAGCGTTTCTTGAAGATTCGCATCCTCTCAGCTCTCGGCTTAGTCTGTGATGGCCGACGAGCATCGATAACGTCAAAGATCGCACGCGTGAGAACTTTTCTGAACTGATCGCACCAGAGAATAGCTTGGTGATCCATGCTAGTCCAAACAGTAGGTATTCCAGTGGTGAAGACGGTGAAGCCATTCGTTTCCGGGACAAGAGATTCAATATTGGCATAATCGGAAGGTACGACGGTGTCCAAGCCGCCGCCAGCAATAGACACAAGGGTTACGTGCCATAGGGGGTTGTCGTTTGCCCATTTTTGGGCGTAGGCTTGACGCCAGTAATTATTGATGTCGTTGTAGATGCTGACTATTTGGCCATCGAAAGTAACCGGAGCGCGTGCGTGTGGAGCAGACATGGTGATGATGGTGTTGATTGAGTTGGACTGATAATTGGGCATGGTAAGCATGGTACGAGCAACTATGCCCCCCATAGAGTGCCCAAGTATCAAGACCGAGGTCGGCTCGGGCAAGTCAACGCCCCTCGAGGTCATCCTAGGATCCTGGTAAAGCGCCAAAATGAACCGTATGGCTTCATTCAAGTAATCAGCCTGATCGAGCATAGTCTGGCCATGGAAGGCCGTAATGTCTTCGTTGAAATCGACTGTAAAGAAATCCAATGGGCGCACGCCTCTGGCCGTCGTGTCTGGATCTTGTTGCAAAGCATCGTGGAAGTAATTGGCTGCCTCAGCGGCAACAGGTCGAACCTGCTTATAGCTACCGGCATTGCCGGGTATGAAAAGAACGGGTGCGCCTCGAAGCTAAGAAACATATAATGATCAGACTGCAAGAACGAAAGTGAAATGCGACAAGGCTGTCCTGGAATAGGAATTACCTTGTTGTTTGTGTCTATGCCCTGCTCCCGATAGAGGTACAGCGAGTACTTCGTCGCGAAACGGGTATGTTCTGTATCGAATTCATGCAGACGTACATATGAGGGCCGCATATATGACATGCGACAACCCTTTTCCTCCACCTGGCGTGACCAGGAGGAGTCCACGATAGCGTATAGTAGAGTGATGCCCAGCACAGCAGTCATGAACGCCATCAGGGTAACGGAGAAGGGGCTGCGCAGTGCCGCTCGATATTCATGTTGTTGTGAAGGGTCATGCTTGCCATCCGTAGACGCAGCGTCGTGTCTCGTGGCTTCTGCGCGTTTGCCGCCAGGAGGGCGATCCGGCGAGGTTGAAGTGAGTGAGGGCGGCTGATGCGTTGAGATGGATTGTGTCTGGTCGGAGCTGTCGCCCGCCGGCTGTGATGTATCCGACTTCCAATTGAAGCTCGCAGGTCGCCGGGCGCCAGTCGGTAAGGGAGTGGCAGTGTCATCTTGCTCCTTCGAGCGTGGACTTGCATCGGGACCGGGCTGGGCATGGTGCTCGAAGTCGGATCGTGGCCGATTGAGGAACAAGGCTTCTTCGACTACCAGTGGCTTGTGGGACGGTTCGACGCTGTCCTCGCTGGACGCGGATGAGCGCCCCTTCATTGGGCCGGTAACTCTCACTGCGCTATGCCCTTGCAAGCAGAGGCCTACTATGGTGGCGGACGAAAGGTGTTGGCGATTGTTGGTAGGTATGCCGACAGCTCTTTGCTTCGGCAAGAAGGGGCCAGAAGCTTGAAAAGCCTCCTGGCAAAGGAGATAGGTAGTTAGAAAGTTCCACCGTAGACGCATAAGCTTATACATGCAACAGCTTAGGCAGGTAGGTATTCCACTGTAGTAGCTACCACAGTCCAGGTACCCCGGCAAATGATGTGCCAGTGCATGCACTTCTGAGGTACCTTGGTGCACAGGCCCGTGTTTTTTTGGAAGTCGTGGGGGTCAACGGTGGCTCTAAGTGTTGGCAGGGGCCAGAGGCTGGATCCTCACAATCTTGGCTGCTAGTACAGGACTTATTCCTCGCAAGTGGAACAGCTACTACGGTACTCCTTTACTGGTCGGCACTGCCAAACGGAGAGCGACTCCGAAACGGTACCAGCCTCCATGTACCTCTCGCGTCTGTGTGCCGGGTGCCAGGATGGGTCGTAGCTACTCACGCGCTGCTCATGTTATGTTCCACGAGTTTCCTCCCGCTATCCACGAGGGATGGTGCCAACAGGTTCAATACTACGCTGTCTGATATCAATTTATGTCCTGAACACCCATCATTTACCTCATTTGCCCCTTTCGCGCAGTCCGAAGTGTAGCAGAGGTGGTCTCCCAGCAAACGGTCAGACCTCTGTCCAAGTGAGTGTGAGCTGCAACGATAGCTCCAGTGCCGCAGACGCCGCTTGCCATGGCTGCCATGGCTGCCATTAAGGCCATCGAAGCCAATACTGTAAGAAATGAAGTTCCTTTCATACAAGTACATCGCCAAGGGAGCCTTCGCTGACCGTACCTTCAGGTTCATCGGATCCAATCTGGGCAGGTCATTGTCGATCTGTGTTCTGTGGTCAAGGAGCTTGTCGAGAACAGCCTTGATGCTAATGCTACGGCCATAGGTACGTGACGCCAAGCAATTATCTCCAACCCGATTTCTATGACAATTTCATTCCTCACACCTTTACTCATCTCGCCATCCTTCAGACGTGCGCTTCAAGAATCAAGGACTAGAATCCATTGAGGTTCACGACAATGGATCTGGCATTTCGCCTGATAACTACGAAGGATTAGCCTTGAAGCACCATACATCCAAACTGGCGACCTTCTCTGATCTCAACACTCTGTCCACATTTGGCTTCCGTGGCGAGGCTTTGTCGTCGCTTTGCGCCTTGTCTCACTTCTCTGTCGTCACCTGCCTCGCCAGTGACACTCCCAGAGCGACCAAGCTAGATTTCGAGCCATCTGGCAGGCTCAAGGGCACTACCGTCGTCGCTGGGCAGAAGGGCACAGTGGTAATGGTCAATAGCCTGTTCCACAACCTCCCTGTCCGGCGACGTGAACTTGAACGTAACATCAAGCGAGAGTGGAATAAGGTCATCACGCTTCTCAACCAATACGCCTGCATACAGACTGGTTTGAAGTTTACCATTTCCCAGCAACCTAACAAGGGGAAACGCATGGTTCTCTTCTCTACCAAGGGAAACACCACCGTCCGAGACAATATCATCAACGTCTTCGGTGCCAAGACCACAGCTGTTATGACGAGGCTCGATGTCGAACTTCAGTTTGAGCCATCAGCAGAATCAGGCTTTACTTCAGCAAAACAGCCTAATCAAAGCGCTTCCCCTGTTCAGGTCAAAGGATTCGTCAGCCGACCCGCGCATGGCGAAGGCCGTCAAACTCCAGATCGTCAAATGTTCTTCGTCAACGGACGACCTTGCATTCTCCCTCAGTTTGCAAAGGTGTTCAATGACGTGTACAGGTCGTATAATTCATCACAATCACCCTTTATCCTCGCCAATATACAACTCGACACACATCTTTACGATGTGAATGTTAGCCCAGACAAACGCACTATTCTTATGCATGAGCAAAATCGCATGTTGGATTCTCTACGCGAAGCTCTCACATCCCTCTTCGAGTCCCAGGACTATTCCATCCCCTTGTCATACATGACACCATCCAAGCCCGGACCATCTGTGGCCTCTTCACCACAATCTTACCCCGACAAGCAGTCGCAATTGCGTCGGGTGACTTCAGACACGAGCAACGACGATGAATGTCGGTCCACGGAGCCAGGGGCAGAGACAAAATACACAGAAAATGCATCTGATAAACAAGGTGGTTCGACCCGGAAAGCTCAGCCGGTGACTGCTCAAGTACCTGAGTCTCCAGCCCAAGCCCTCATGAACCGCTGGATCGCCAAGCAATCGAACAACACGAGTCACGGAATATATTCGGGGGCCAGTGAACCCAATAGCAGTTCTTCAGAAGCACAACACCGAGAATCTCGGGCCAAGCTAATGCTATCCGTCAATCGTAAGGGTGTACAAAGTGAACCGTCGCATCAAGTTCTATCAAGGCCAGAGACCAGTATGACGAACCTCAGGATCGCGGAAAACCTAACAGACTCTACGGATTTTGTGTGCTCGGATCATGACCCAAAGTTGTCCACTTCGAAGACGGTGGCTGTGAGCCCTACAAGCACACCACGAATTCAACGCAAGTCAGGCAGCCCTGTGATGGTGCCACTATCTCCCGAGGCGCCTGCTGGAGCTGCTAGCGCACATACAAGTGCTAAGGGAGACTCTCACGAAGCAGCATCACATCGAGAAGAACCCAGTCTGCCATCGTCTCCGACAGACGCATTACGCCCAGACGATAATCAATTGAGGAGCTATATAGCCTTCAGTGACTGCCAGAAGCCAACGGTATCTCACGCCCAAAGCACCGCAACAGAAGTTGGGGAAAACAACCAACATCTCCAGCATGCCACTCTTAGAAGCGATGAAGACCTTGAGGTGGTCCCTGCTCCCCCGTCTAAAAAAAAACGGCATCCGAATATGGCCGATTCAGACTCTGACCACCGAGTCCTCATTGAACCAGACTCGGACAGGGTTGATGATCAGAGCGATGCTGTTAGCGAAAACTTGTCGAACAGCGCTAGTCATGATACAGATGAAGAGCCTCAAGCTTCGTATCGGGATGATCAGAGCAGTGCTGACTCGGAACCTCGTGACCGAAACAGGGCCAGGCCAGGGTTTGATGCGTTATCTTGGATCTCTAAGCGCAAGGATGTAACATTGCGATATGAGCAAACTGTCAAAACTGATAAAGCGGATGTTGCTGCCTGGTCTGAGGAAGAAGCAAGTGAAGGCAAGGGGCTTTCCGGCAGTCCACCCTCCGCCGCCGTTAAGGCCGGCCTGGAAGCCGAAAACGCCGAGGATAAGCTCTCGCTCATCATCTCCAAATCAGATTTCGATGACATGGCAGTAGTCGGCCAGTTCAACCTAGGGTTTATACTTGCTGTCAGGCATGCGAGTGGCAGTGCAAATGGTGAGCATGAGAAAAGCCATGACAGCTTGTTTATCATCGATCAACATGCATCAGATGAGAAGTACAATTTCGAAAGGCTCCAGTCATGCACTACCGTACAGTCACAACACCTAGTTCAGCCCAAACAGCTCGAGCTTACTGCTCTTGAAGAGGAGATAGTGAGGGAAAACATATCGGCTTTGGAGGTCAATGGCTTCAAGGTACGCATCGACGACTCGGGATCGCAGCCAGTGGGATTACGATGCGAACTCGTAGCTCTGCCCTTGAGTCGTGAGACGACATTTACATTAGCGGACCTCGAAGAACTCATATCATTATTGGGTGACCATGACCTGACGGGCACCAGCCCTGCGCCTCGGCCTTCCAGAGTGCGGAAGATGTTTGCCATGCGAGCATGCCGGAGCAGCATCATGGTGGGCAAAGCGTTGACGCATCGGCAGATGGAAAGGTTGGTAAGACATATGGGAGAACTGGACAAGCCTTGGAATTGCCCTCATGGCCGACCAACAATGCGACACATCTATGAGCTCGCCTCCTGGGATGAAAATTCCTGGGTTCGGGATATGGGTCAGCGAAATACAGCGCAAGAAAAGGTCGCCTGGGCTTCGTATGCACGCACTGAGACTTAGTTTCAACGACTAGTCAGGTCGCGAACGTTCACGGAATATGGAAAGTAGCCAGGCGCAGATTTTACTCAAGTTTTATATGCCTTTGAGTCACATAATCGCAGCATCGAGAAAGGTTAAGCATGTAGTAGCCAATGACTTGATTTCAGACCCTTCAACTCCGTATCCAACCCAGCGACCCGTAAATTGTTTCCTTGCCGCGCACAACTTGTATTTGACTCTGTATGCAAAGAGTTCAACTGTCTATTTGTTCAAAATGCTGAAGCGTGAATGGGAGGGAGGAAGTGTTGCGCGGCCTTCTTCTGCTATTTTGCCGCTAACATTACGTCGACTGAACGCTCCCACGGGTTGGCCGTCATAGTCATTCCCTGATGACACCTGGCGATTGCTTCCAATCATGATTGGGGGTGTCGCCGGTTTGAGCTGGCCATATGGTTTGGCGAAAAAGTCGGACTCTCGTTGAATCGAGCCTGTTCTGTGGGGTGGTGGCGCAGGCGCAGTGTTCAGAGCATGCTTTTCATCAGCAATATCGTGACTGCCACTGAATGACCGCGGATATGACTTTCTCTCGGGCGACGCAGAGCCATGCATTGAGTTGTATGGTGCCACTAGTCTGTTCCATGGTGCAGGGGGGTTAGAGCGAAGCGGTTGGGGATGAAGGCTTCCGACATCGCCGTCACCACTTTGGTGGCCAACGCGATAATTGTCGCCATGCTCAGAGTCCGAGTCGTCTCCGTCGGGAACGTCATACCGCTTGTCAAGTGCGTCGTACGTCTTCTGGTAGCTCTCGCGGTTTCGCGCAGCGGCATTCATCAGCTGATTCCGGTGCTGTGTACGGGAGATCAGAGAGTCACTCGCACTCCACGTCTCGGTAAATTTTGCCACTCGCTGTTGCCCTGCGTGGGGACTAGCGGGAGCGTTGAGATCAACATTGGTAAGAGAACGAGCTGTCTCGCTTTCTTCAAGCGGAACCTGGGAATAGTAGCCCTGATGCATCGACGGCGGCTTTGACAACCTTCGTGTGTCTGTAGAGATGAATGAGTTGCGTGGTGACGAGTTGCCAGGAACGATCTGATACTGCCTCGAGGGAAAATCGGCGATCGAGTTCCTATTACTTAAGGAGCTTCCAGAATCGGCCCTGGTTCGGAGGAAGGGGATTGTTGGGGGTCGTGAAATGTCCTCATAGGGAAGACCTGAACGGCGACGGTCCTCTAGTGGCGTTGAGAGTCGCCTCTCGCTTTCCGTGGTGCTGGTGGTGGCAATGCTTGACTTGTTCCGGGTGTGCTTTGCCCGCGAGGTAAACCGGTCTTCGAGCGGGTTGAGGTCAGGGGGCATGCTTGCGATTCGGCGAAAGACAAGGCCCAGCCAGACGGAGATGCTCAGAGACACCAGATGAAGGGCACCGGCACCGAGGAACGTATACCCTACAGCCGGGACAAAGTAGTCAACAAGGCTAGCATCAGACAGGCGTGTCGTCCATGACGATCCATGGTTCCGGACGCTAAGAGCGCCGAACACATAACCAGGGACAATACAGATGTCCGACACTGCAGCGAAGATCTGGTAAGCGGCCGAGGAGGCTGGAGTGCGACTGCTTGCAGGGCGTGACAGGTGGTAAATAGCGTAGGCGCAATGCAGCGAAACAACGCCGGGCTAGAAAGGTAAGCGGTTGCGCGCAAAGGTTTTGGTTTGACGTGACAAGCAGTATGGCCCGTGACGTGTCGTCAGGAATGGGAATGAAGACTTACAGCAATCCGCAATACCCAGCCTACCACGACAGGGATGCCGGTGAGCAAAATAAGCAGGGTCAACAGCCCAGCGGCGCCAATGAACTGAAAAACTCTCAAGATCAACTGGAATACACGGAGACCTTTGATCCAGCCTTTCATTCTCGGGCTCAACGCGAGGTAGGTGGTGGACCGATGAGACAACACCATATGGGCGCTTTTAACCAGGGTAACAAACCATTAGCATTGAGCACCGGTAAAACAATCGGCCGCGGACAGAGGCGAGGTTCTCTTACTCGGGATGTCGATTAAAAGATATGAGAGGCCCATCGTGCTTCTTCGGCTTCGGTGCTTTGGGAGTGTAGCTGGCGCGGGTGACAGCCTTGGGATCGAAGGACTTCTCAGGCAGGCCACTCCCGCGACTCCCCATGGCTTCGTAGAGAAAAGGTTGCTGGACACCCATACTGGAATGTGCTAGGGTGGGACAATGGCAGGGTGCGTGTAGCTGGAATGTACTGCGGGAGAGTCGGCGGGGCCCAGTCGGAATGGCAACTTGATGTCCCTTACGGGGGTGGTTGGGAAAGTGGCGATATGTTTGAATTGGAGACAAATGGGGGTATCGAGTGAGATGAGCACAAAAGTCGACTCAATGCAGCAGTACTGAGGCCCGCATGTTACATGAGCTCTCTGTCGTTCTTGTTTGAACAGCATAATACAGTCAGGCGAGGCGGATTGACGCCGTCCATTCACTATTTTGCTGTCGCGAGCTGAATTCCGTTTCTACGGCAACAGCGCTTGGGCGGTAAGTAAGCTTATCTTATCAACCCGTACGTTCCTCCAACCTCAGGCACACATATAACTGACCACTGTCTAGCTCGTCCAGAAAACATATGTGGCTCGAGCTCACCTGGCCCACGTTGTTGTTCATGGATTGCCTGAGACAGGTAGGTAGTCAGCTAAAGGCCGAAAGTGACCGGCGCTTTCGGCGCCGAGATAAAATCGTGATATTCGTAGATCCCTGGCACTGAGAACACTAAGCGACGCAGAAGTGTGAATGGACTTGCAACTTTGGAAACCTGGCTGTTCAACATCTCCTTGTTCTCAATGGTTCGCGAAAGCATTTAACGGCGGTTCGGCTTAATGCTAACTCTTGGTAAGCTTTACTACGCTGCATGAGTAAGTAGGTCTGTTGACTCCAGCGTAGGCTGCCACTATCGGTTGGTCCTACATTCAATACTACTAGTCACACTGCAACCAACCCGCCGATTCTTCGTCCACGATGGGTTTACTCGCACTCACAGCGGGGACCAGGACTTCATGCGCCAGAGTCTCGTCGTTTCTGAAGCGCACAACCCTCCACCCCCAACCACATTTGACACGTCATGCAAGCACGCAGTCAAGCGGCAGAACAGCTCCGCGTAGGCCAGACAAACCCTTTCGCATGGCCATTGTGGGATCTGGACCTGCTGGATTTTATACCGCCTACAGAGTCATGTCTCGATTGCCCCAAGCCCGAGTCGATATGTACGAGTCTCTGCCAGTCCCCTATGGGCTCGTTAGGTTTGGCGTGGCGCCTGACCATCCAGAGGTGAAGGTATAAGCAATATGATTTCCATTATGGTTATTGTGCGCCGCTCACACAATACAGAATTGCCAGGACAAGTTCGAAGAGATAGCTAGCTCCCCAAACTTTACCTTCGTCGGCAACGTCTCCGTAGGCGATGCGACTCACCAGTCGCACAGTCAAACTGTCCAACTGCCTACTTTGCTCCGTAACTATGATGCCATCTTGTTCTCATACGGCGCCATCAAGGACAAGGCACTTAATGTACCCGGTGAGTCATCTCTTGCCGGTATATACTCAGCACGGCAGTTTGTTGGATGGTACAATGGGCTTCCCGAATCGGCTGGCCTCGCCCCAAATCTCGCCACAAGCGATGAAGCCGTCGTGATCGGCCAGGGGAACGTTGCTCTTGACGTTGCAAGAATCCTTCTAGAAGACGTTGATGTTCTGCGAAAGACGGACATTACCGATGAGGCTTTGGCCACACTAGCCACTTCTCGTATACGTCGGGTGCACGTTGTTGGAAGGCGCGGGCCAATGCAGGTAGGTCGAAACTTGCGAATGAAACAATACTCCCACATAGCTCGCTGATGATTGTGAAAGGCTGCCTTTACTATTAAAGAGGCTCGGGAGTTGATGAAGATACCTGGTGTCGCATTTCACCCTGTGGAACCGTCTCTGATCCCCCCTGATCTCAAATCGCTTCCCAGGGCTACGAAACGCCTGATGGAACTGGTGGCCAAGGGGTCACAGGCACAAGTGTCGACCGCGCCCAGGTCATGGTCCTTGGACTTCTGCCTTTCACCGACCGAGTTTGTTGCCAGCGATGTCTCGCCTCATTTTGTCGGCAGCACAGTGCTCGAACGCACAGAGCTCACCTCCAAGTTCGATCCAAACGCCCAGGCGCAGCTGAAGGGCGAAAAGATCATTTTACCGTCATCCCTTGTCTTTCGCTCCATCGGATACAAATCAGCGCCGCTCCCGGGTTTTCAAGAGGCAGGTGTGTTGTTTGATGAGCGGCGCGGCGTCATCATGAACGATGGGCAAGGACGTGTTCTTCGAAGAACGTCGACTGAGCTTGAGACCGATATCATGTCAGAACATTCTCCTGGCCTTTACTGCGCTGGCTGGGTCAAGCGTGGGCCCACGGGAGTCATTGCAACCACCATGCAAGACGCTTTCGATACTGGCGACTCGATCGTACGAGATTGGCTCTCGGGTATCAAGTTCCTACAGGCAGGAGAAGATTCGAGCTCAAGCCCGCTGCCAGGATGGGATAAGGTGCGTACAGAAATGGCTGTGAACAATAACCAGCCTACGGTGGACTGGCACGGCTGGCGCAAGATCGACCAAGCTGAGCGAGAAAAGGGACAGGAGAAAGGTAAGGAACGTGAAAAGTTCACAAGCACTAAGGCCATGCTCGAAGTTGTAGCATAAAGTGGATCAAGGATTATAATGGACAATCATTTCTGTACAATATTTTACTGCTTCAGCTTTTCCGTCAACTCCGGAACCTTGTCGAATAGATCACCAACGAGCCCTACATCTGCAACCTGGAAGATAGGAGCATCTGCATCCTTGTTGATGGCTGCGATGACCTTGCTATCCTTCATACCCGCCAAATGCTGGATCGCGCCAGAGATTCCCACGGCCATGTAAAGCTGAGGAGCCACAACCTTGCCTGTTTGCCCGACCTGCAAGCTGTTATCGGCATAACCGCTATCGACAGCAGCCCGAGAGGCACCAACCGCTGCACCGAGCGAGTCCGCGAGTGGGAGCATGACCTTGTCAAACTCCTCCTTGGACTTTAGACCACGCCCACCAGAAACAACCTTGCCAGCAGTGGCAAGATCGGGGCGATCCGACTTGGTCAACTCTTCGGAAATCCACTCAGTCGAAGAGGGTGCCTTTGGGTCCACACCGGCCTCGACGGACGCTGAGCCGCCCGTCTCTTCAGCAGCAGGGAAAGCCGTGCCTCGAATAGTGACAACCTTGACCTTATCCGAGGACTGAACCGTAGCAATTGCGTTGCCGGCATAGATGGGCCGTACAAATACATCTTCACTCTCGATCGCGACGATATCAGACACCTGCTGCAAGTCGAGGAGCGCAGCTACACGTGGCATGATGTTCTTGCCGAAAGCCGTGTGGCTTGCGATGACGTGCGTATACCCGCCTTGCTTGATGTTCTCAACCAGCAAGGGAGCGAAGTTCTCGGGAAGACCCTGTCAAGACGAGAATGAAGTGTCAGCATTGGGTATAATCATGAAATTATTTCAGTGGTAGGTCAAACCTTGTCATAAATTGCGTTGTCCACAGCAATGATCTTCTCAACGCCTTCCACCTTGGCTGCCTCCTGCGCAACAGCCTGGATGTTTCCTCCAGCAACGAAGCCGTGCACTGTGCCTCCCAGTTTCTTCGCTGCCGTGATGGAACTCAGAGAGCCATGGTTGAGCTGGCCCTCGCGCTGCTCCAATATCGCAAGCGTCGAAAGGAAACCGCGCCTTGCTTGGTTGGAGAGAGGTAGGCGCTGGAGGAGCGAGGCAGGTACTCCGCGAAAAGCGGCCCTTCGTGCAGCAGTGCAAGACATATTAACGTTTCGTATCCGCCGTAAGTTGAAAAATCACAGATATAGACTACAGTCCGCTCGAATGATTGAGTGGGCGCTGTACGAGGGCTTTGGAGCAGACACGCAGGGGGCGATTTGTGAACATTACGGATTTCGAATGGGCGTTCACTGTTGCGGTTTGTCACGGCCCGAGGTTGTCGTCCGTCATCGGCTGCTACTGATCAGGGGTGGGGCCACTCACCACAGTTATGTCATCACGTGAGTAAAGCCAGGGCCCTCTCAACTGGTTTCTCAGTGGTTGGGATGTGAAGGTTACTAGGACAGTGCCCCTGCAGATGTGGACGCTTTTGGACCGCCCATCAGCAGCAATCTGTTCAGTCAGTCAATCGCCTTCCTTGCCCAGCTGCCAGCCGCTGCCCTTTTAGAGAGACCCTCCTGCAGCACTTCAACCGCGCCCCCAAAATTCTTAAGACGCGATCACGCCTCGCGACGGGATCATCCACTTTCCACCCCCACGGACTCGCTATTCCGCAAAGATAACTCAACACACTGACGTTCGAGCAGAGAGTTCGCAGTTGGCTTGACGTTTCCTAGCGCTCTCTCTCTCGCGCTTGCTCTGACGCCCGCGTCAGGTCGACATCTTCACCAACGCGCACCGACTCTAAATCCCGTCGCGCGTTCACCGCGCGTTCTTCCGAAGAATTGATCTTGTCGCGCATCACTCACCACGAAGTCGCCTCAAGGATCTTTATATTCTCGCTGTCGTCATCACCATGGACGAACCGACCAACTACGGTTCGCCGGCCAATGCCGCGTCACCCACTAGCAATACCCTTCTCGCGCAGCCGCCGCTCGCGCCTGAGATAAGCAGCACCAGGCCGGATAACTCTGAAGGTTCGTCATCATTTTGGCGCTCTCGCCATCGAATCAACACTTGGTGATGATTTCGTTATTCAACTCTAACATGTCTGTGGCTCCAGATATCCAGATGGGGGAAGCCGTGACCAATGAACCCATTGTCAAGCAAGACAGCGCCACCCCGGCCCCGATCACAGCTTCGGATAATCCTCTGGATGCACCGGATGGTCCCGCAGCCGAAACCACCATCTCGCGCGATGAAGATGACGCCGAGATTGGGAAAGATGCAGGCGATGAACCCGATGCCGACGCTGCTGTCACTGGCACGGAAGCAGAAGGACAGGAGGGCAAGACAAAGGAAAGTGTTGAGGCATCTGCCCGTGATCATCTCATTTCCCAGACCCATGCCATAATATTGCCAAGTTACAGCACTTGGTTCGATATGAACATGGTCCACGAGATTGAACGTAAGGCCATGGCCGAGTTCTTCAACAGCCGCAACCGCAGCAAGACCCCTGTCGTTTACAAAGACTACCGCGACTTCATGATCAATACCTATCGCCTGAACCCCGCGGAATACTTGACCGTCACTGCTTGCAGACGAAACTTGGCAGGTGATGTCTGCGCAATCATGCGCGTTCACGCCTTTCTCGAGCAATGGGGCCTCATCAACTACCAGGTAAATAACTTGCTATTACTGCTGGACGGTCTCAACCAGCACACTATTGGACTCAATCGTATGATGCTGACATTTCCAGGTGGATGGAGATCACCGACCCTCTAACATTGGTCCCCCTTACACAGGCCACTTCAAGGTTATCTGCGACACGCCCCGTGGCCTGCAAGCCTTCCAGCCTTCGGCCGACGAGGAGATGACTAAGGGTAAGCAAAGTGTAGATACCGACAAGAAGGCCTCGGCTGCACAAGCTGCGAAAGGAGATTCCAAGCTAGAGGTCAGTCGAAACATCTACGACGGAGACGCCAAATCAACCAACCTCAACGCCACGACCGAGGTCAAAACCAACGGGGAGACACCAACCACAAATGGTGTGTCGGCAAACAAGGAGGCGTCGACAGGCCCCATCACGAAGGTCAACTGCCACGCCTGTGCCGTCGACTGTACTCGTCTGTACTACCACGCTCCAACGAAGGAGGGTAGCGCCAAGGCAAAATATGAAATATGTCCCAGCTGCTTTCTTGATGGTCACTTCCCTGGCGATTCGAACAAGTCACAATATACTCGTGACGGGGACGGTGCGCTTATCCGCCAGGACAACCCCACGTATACAACGGTGCCAGAGAGAGATGCTCCATGGAGCGATGCGGAACTCTTGCGACTACTGGAGGCTCTCGAGCGTTATGACGAAGAATGGACCGACATTGCAGAGCACGTCGGCACTCGTACTCGCGAAGAATGTGCACTTCAGTTCCTGCAACTCAGTATCGAGGACAAGTACCTTGAATCTGAACTCACCATTCTTGGGGCTCATGGTGACAAGCAAATTCCATACAACCAGGCCGACAACCCAGTCATGTCTGTCGTTGGATTTTTAGCTAGTTTGGCTGACCCAGCCACCACAGCCGCGGCTGCCCACTCTTCCGCCGACGAAATGAAGCGTCGTCTACGTAATCGTCTCGAAGGCGGAGAGTCACGGGAGACTGAAGCCTCGAATGGCAAGGGCAAAGAAAGAGATGGTGATGCAATGGAGGTGGACATTGAACAGGAAACGACCACGACAACCGTTACCACAACAACTGTCCGCAAAATGGCATCGATACCACTAGCAACAACGGGAGCGCGCGCTATTGGTCTTGCCACAGAAGAGGAGCGTGAGATGACGCGACTGGTGTCAGCGGCGGCCAACGTGACGCTGCAGAAGCTGGACCTGAAGCTTAAGTATTTCAATGAGATGGAGGCTCTGCTCCAAGCCGAGCGTCGCGAGCTTGAGAGAGGCCGACAGCAGTTATTCCTTGACCGACTCGCATTCAAGCGAAGGGTCAGAGAGGTCCAGCAGTCGTTCAAGACAGCGGCGGCCACGGGTACCGACCAGGGACTTCGACTGGGAGATGATATATTGATGGGCAATGGTAGGCTTACGGTACAATCAGTTCCAGGAGCCGATACTGTGCAGCCACTGAGCAGTGGGGGCAAGGTGCAGAGCCTGGAGATTTGATGAAGGGGAGGTTGTCGATTGTGGTTCTGGGCCAAACCAGAACTGAACGAGGGATCGATCACACTACTTGGTACTACGGCGTCGAAGGGGGTTCTGGGGAATTCTGGGCTGGGCGGCTTCATGTCGCTTGGCACTCGCGGATGGCATGGGATGGTTCTTGGTTTCGTCTCGTCTACTGTTGTTCTGCTTGAGGCTGTATCATCAATAACAAACTTATACATTTCTTCGAATAGCTGATTACGAAACGACGCCCCCGCTCCGGCTCTGAGAAGCAAGCACCGGCCGGCCTCCGTCAGTTGAGCCGCTTCGCGTTTGCACCATGGTGCATGTGACAGCTTGTGCGGATAGACTCCCCTACAGAGTACATGTAGTTCATGCACTGCTTGAATCGGCTGCACACTGTCTGCCCGCTACCTCATCTCGTTGTTACTCCACATGTAGGCTGACAGTGTACTACTAACCTCGGCACACTCACACAAGGGGGCCGGGGGGTGGGGGGGTTCGCCGAACAAGCGTCTCATCAAGTCTTCCATGTCATTTCAAGTTGACAGTGCCCGTAACGGCGAGGGCCGAACACTGGGCTGCTGTTAGGTTCCAATTCTTACTAGGTTGGCGATTGAAGCCAGCGAATAGGACAAGGTACGCGCAAGCGGGAGGCCCAAAGGCTCTATGATGAAAACATGAGTTTCGTCTTTTCATGCCCCAATACACGCACAGTCATTCGGCCTCCACATCCAGCGTTGCCAGCGTGTTGGCAAAAGAGATCCACATAATATTCCCGTAACCGACTACCGACACAAGTCGAGTTAGAACCCCGCCATGCCAAACTCGCGCTAATTCTGGGCTGGGCCCTGGGATCCCTTGTCCCTGCTGACGGCAACCTAACGCATATGCGGCCTAGCTCAATGTTTCTTGCCCCGTGGACTGGAGAATGCCTCGGCGCGCGTACCTAGGCTCATCGGCTATGACGGGTTTGTCCCGACCAGCAGCGAGCATCATATTCCCCTCGTCCAAATCATCCTCTTCCCCGTGGCGCGTCTTTCAACCTCAATTGTCCAAAGATCGGTCATGTCGTTTGCATTTCGCGCTTTTGAGGCCAGGTCTGCCACCCTGAGAAACCCACGTATATTTGCCAAACCTACTCGTAACATCCTGGCCGCTATGCCGCCCGCCAGCAAGAGGAGCAACAGCTCGTTGCCGGCTGGTAAGTCACTTTGCCCGCTGCGCACATTGCGAAACAAAATTCATGGCTGACAGCGCGAACAGGCTATGTCGAGGACAAGTCGAAGGGACCCATGTTGAGATTTCAGGACTCTCTCCCTCGCCTACCCGTTCCTACGCTCGAGGAGACTGCTGCTCGCTATGTCAAGACCCTGCGGCCTCTCCTTTCCGATTCAGAGTTTGCGATAAGCAAGAAGGCCGTTGAGGAGTTCATCAAACCTGGCGGCATTGGCAGCCGGTTGCAGGAGAAGCTCCTTGCTCGACGAGAGGACCCCAAGCACAGGAACTGGCTCTACGAGTGGTGGAACGATGCTGCATACCTGTCCTACAGAGACCCTGTCGTTCCCTACGTCAGCTACTTTTATTCCCACCGAGACGACCGTCGAAGGAGAAACCCGGCTAAGCGCGCCGCCGCCATAACCTCCGCCGTGCTCGAATTCAAAAAAGAAGTGGACGCCGGAATCCTTGAGCCCGAGTACATGAAGCGTCTGCCAATCTGCATGGACAGCTACCAGTACATGTTTAACGCCAGTCGTGTTGCCGCCAAGCCTGTCGACCACCCAGTCAAGTTCTCCCACAAAGATCACAAGCACATTATTGCAATCCGCAAGAACCAATTTTTCAAGATTATGCACGAGGTGAACGGCAAACAGCTCAATGCAAGCGAACTCGAACAGCAATTCAACAAGGTCTACGAATCCGCTCAGCGAGCTCCCGCTCTTGGTGCTCTGACTAGCGAAAACCGTGATGTGTGGGCTGATGCTCGCCAAACTTTGCTTGCAGCGCATCCCAAGAACGCTGCAGCCCTTGAGACTATCGAATCTGCGTCGTTCGTCGTGTGCCTCGATGACGCCTCTCCCGTGACGCTTGAGGAGCGTGCCCACCAATACTGGCACGGAGATGGCCAGAATCGCTGGTTTGACAAGCCTCTTCAATTCATTGTCAACGACAACGGCACGTCTGGCTTCATGGGCGAACACTCCATGATGGATGGCACCCCTACTCATCGCTTAAACGACTACATCAATGATCTCATTTTCAACAACAAACTTGACCTCTCCGACCCCGCTATCCGCTCTAACCTGGCCGATCCTCAGCCAGTCAAATTCGAGATCACCAAGGACGTCCAGACTGAGATTGACCGTGCAACCAAAGACTTCAACGACGTTATCGGCCAGCACGAGCTCGCCGTGCAGGCCTACCAGGGCTACGGCAAGGGCTTGATCAAGAAGTTCAAATGCTCTCCCGATGCCTACGTTCAGATGATCATCCAGCTGGCGTACTTCAAGATGTACGGCAAGAACCGCCCCACGTACGAGTCCGCTGCCACCCGCCGTTTCCAGCAGGGTCGTACCGAGACTTGCCGCACGGTTTCTGATGCTTCAACCGCCTGGTGCCGGTCCATGGCCGACGCCGAGTCGACGGACGCGACTCGCACTGACCTGTTCCGCAAGGCTATCGATTCGCATCTCGAATACATCAGTGCCGCGTCAGATGGCAAGGGAGTGGACAGGCACCTGTTCGGTCTGAAGAAACTGTTGGGACCTGGTGAGGAGCTCCCGAGCATCTACAAGGACCCAGCGTACACATATTCCGCCACGTGGTTCCTCTCGACCTCGCAGTTGAGCTCTGAGTTTTTCAACGGATACGGTTGGAGCCAGGTTATTGACGACGGATTCGGTATTGCGTATATGATCAACGAAAACAGGTAAGACTTCCCGGAGCTGTCACGTCCTAGGTTCCTCGCCTTTTTGGGAACCCAAAGAGGGGAATGCTAATTTGATAACATCACAGCATCAACTTCAACATTGTGTCGAAGGGTCTTGGCAGCCAGAGGATGAGCTTCTATCTCAACGAGGCCGCTGGTGATATGCGTGATCTCCTCATATCGAGCATTGAGACACCCAAGGCTAAACTGTGAGAGGCTCGTGAAATTCAAGAAGATGCCGGAAGATGAACAAACGGAGAACATAGTGTAGGATGACGGAGGGATTGGCCGGACAAGCAGCGTATGCCAATTGTGCATTCTGCATACATGTACTAGAGATCAGGGACTGGCGCATCGCTCAAGTTATGTTGACAATAGACTACGTGCTGCCAACCCAGCCAGACAACCTTCACTGTCAAGACACATGAGGGTTTCTCTCGGTCGTTCCGTCCACAGCGTGAAAAGGCAAATCTTGTTGATAACTACACGAGCTTACGAAAGCTCTGAAACCACGCAATGTCGACCGCGGTGGCCCGAGCAACGAGAAAATGACTCCATCAAATGTCTAACCGGCGTGTGACACTATCTCATTTACAAGGTCGTCCTTCTCCTCATCGTAGTAAGAGCAAATCTGATAGGGCAGTGGGACTTCCTTCGAATCGCCATCAGGACCCGAAATGACGTTCAGATTGACACCTGACGACTTGCTCGTAAAGATCTTGGTGGATGTACTCTCCTTGCTGAAGTAAATCTGGGCACCATCGATCTGGTCCATCATGACCGTAGGGATAACTCCCATGACTTGCAAGGCAAAATTCTGTGACTTGACTACATCCACCGTGGAGATGAGAGAGTCGACAATCAACGATAGGCGATTGGAGTTCTCAATGGTGACGGCGTTGGCCTTACCCTTGATGATGATCGTCGTGTTGTTACATCTGCTAATCAACAAAGAATGGTTATTGGACGCTTCGATCTCAATCGGCTGTGGTTCTTTGTCGTAGTTCTCCTATTGTGAAATATAATATCAGTTGCAATCCTTCATGTTCGTATTTCGCCTCTTACAATTGTCCACTTATTTCCGTCAAGCTCCTTCCTGGGTGGCTTTTTGCTGCGCATGCTCTCGGGCTTTGGCTTCTTTCCAGGGGCTGGGCTCTTGCCTCGGACAACGCTGGAGGAAGCTCGTAGAGATGGGTTCTTGTGAGTCATCTCCGATTTGTCAACCTTTCGGAGGCCCTTGGTCACGGCATCTCCTCTGTTGAGCTCGGAAAAGACAGCATCAAGGCCTCCCCTTTCCTGACCTGAAGCAGGAGCTTCCCCATTACTCAGGTCTAGTACAGGAGGCGGGCCAGGCGGCGGCGGCGGCGGCGGCAAGCCGCCGGTGGGAGGGGGCGGGGGCGGTGTCGCTGTCGTTGACGAGGCTGTAACCAAAGTCTTGGCCACCTCCTGAGCAGGCTGTCCTTTCGGATTCCAAGGTATACCGTTCGGAAAGTACTGCTTGACGTAATCGGCCAGGTCGCGGAAAACCTGATAAAAGCTATGAACCCACTCGGCTTGTTGGGGGTCCCTGGTTTCGCGTCAGTTAGGGTTGAGATGGCTATTAAATGTTGCATATCTTAGCTTACTTGTCTTTTTGTTCCTTCAACACTCGGTTTCCGAAGAACTGGGCCGACCCAAGAGATTCTTCTACATGCTTATACGGACGGTTGACCACCGTTACCCAAGCGAGTACCATGATGCCCTCGGCGACGGCACTGAGTTGGCTAAAGACGGGCGACGGCCGGTTAGCGTCCTTGATCTCGGTGGCAGCAATCAGGGCTTCATTGATTGGATTCAGAAGCGCGAGATGTTCGGCCCCGTTTAGGTCGGGCTTCTTGGCCTTCGTTGTAATGAGCAGATACGTGCGTTGAGCTTGGAAACCTGCGAGAACTTTGGCAGCCTACAACATCGAATGAGCGTCAGTGGGCACTAGCAGGACAAGGTTGAAAGTAAATTCTTCTAATCAGGGCAGCGAAAGGCTTACCTGATCAGCAAGCAGACCGCCAAGTTGCTTGGACTTCTTGACATAGTTCTCGACAGCAGTAGTAATGAATATATCAAATTCTTCAATCGATTCGGGCAGCGGTTCCGCGGGTACAGCCTTTGCAGCAGCAGGTGGTTGAGGAGCAGCTGTAGCAGGTGTCGTGGTACTCGATGCGATAGGAGGCGACGGCAGAATGGGCTGTCCAGGCGCGGCTTGGGGGAGCTCGATGGTCGACGAGGCAATGTCCTCGAGCCTTGCAGTGGCCGCTTCAAGCCTGCGAGGCTGTCAGTGCCTCCACTCCTTCCGAGTGCACGGAGACAGGCGGTGATATGTACGAACCTCTTGATGAGTGTCGTAAGATTGTGCATATTGTTGGTCGCCATGATCGGCTATCCTGCAGGATGCGATCGATGTTGCAGGAATCAGGGGTATTTTGGGTTGAAATACAACGGCAGGAGCCAGAGCGCAACGGTGCCAGAAGCAATCAAAGGCCGTTGTCTTCGGTGTGCAATCACGGGAAGACCTTGAAGTGTGAAGATATGCAAGGATCAGGAGATCTGTCTTGTTCTTGCGAGCTGCGCGAGGACGAGGCTGGGGACTTCGGGGAGAGGGCGAAGTAAGTGACTACGTTGACGGGGGTGCTCCTGAAGGCAGACACTATGGAATGGCAGCTAGAGAAGCTTCGGCACAGACAGGGCACCCGCCCCGCCGCCACCCAGGTACCTACCCACTGTCCGTCAGAGCGCGCAACCGCGGGTCTTATTCCTCACAGATAGGCATCCCCGACAATCGACAGATATACGATGCCAGACCAACAAAATGTTACCTTCGAGTCGTGATTTCGACCAAGACTCCATGCACTCCCTGTGCATTAGATTGTCCTTGCTTGACCCAATGACCGTGGTCTTCTTGTCGCACTGTCTGTGCTACCAGCAACCGAGACCATCTTTCAGCAAGGTTACCAGAATGTCCCTCGAACTGAACTCATAGATCGGACAGGCAGGCGGCATCCAAATCGACCTTCTGTTCTGCATGTTCGCCGACGCTACAACGAGTCCCATATTAACATGCGAGCTTTCTCGTACTGCCCGATCGACCAGGTCGAGGTCACAGGCTCCATAATCCAAGGTGTATGCAGATATCCAGTATTTTCTAAGTACTGGTGTTTGGTCCCGATCGGCGAACCTTGAGCGCTTTGCCAGCGGCCCTGCATATTGGGACATCGAACACATCATGAGTTTGCTACCTGCAGCCTGAACGCTGTTCTTCAACAGCCAGTGGCGAATATGCATCGTCAGCACACAACCTTGTACCTCAATATCTTTTCGTTGAAGTGTATTTACGAAGTCGAGTTTCCGCAATCTCCCTGTGACTGAAAAGCTGAAGCTCGTCGCGGTTGTGATAAGACGGTCTTCGAGGTTACCCGTTGCAGTCAGCAAGTCTACCAAAGGCCGCCATGGAATTCTTGTCGGTGAAGGATGAGGTTCTCACAGAGGCAGAATTTGCGGCTTTAACACCTTTGGATGTCGTTACGCTGGGCATGGTCATCATAGGTGAGGTTTCTGCGACACACCCCACCGACTCAAGGCTCACTGCTCAACGGTTCGATCATGCTAACCCGTGAAGATGATATTGAGTTCGAGGAACCCACGCCACCGGTCAAAGATATACTAGGCGGTGCGGGCACGTATTCCGCTATAGGAGCACGTCTTTTCTCTCCCCCTCCTCTATCCTCTTCCGTTGGCTGGGTAGTCGATCAAGGAACTGATTTCCCCGCCGACCTTATAACTCTGATTGAAACTTGGAACACGTCTGCTCTGATGCGCAAATCAACTGAACGCCTTACTACGCGAGGCTGGAACGGTTACGAAAACACCGGAAACACAACGAAGCGCGCATTCAAGTACACCACCCCAAAGAAACGCCTCACGGCCGAAGACCTAACGCCAACGCTGCTTTTTTCTCGCTCGTTTCACCTTATTTGTTCGCCGACGAGATGCAGAGAGCTGGTTGCAGATATCACGACTTCCAGGAAGGCCTTATCACCAGAAGACTCATACGTGAAACCAATTTTCGTCTGGGAGCCAGTCCCCGACTTGTGCACCCCCGCTGAGCTCCTCAACTGCACGAACACTCTCCCACTCGTTGATGTTTGCAGTCCCAACCATGCAGAGCTTGCAGGCTTCATGGGTGATCATGGCTTGGATTTGAACACGGGCGAGATATCCACTGCGGCCGTGGAACGTTCCTGTGAACAGCTCTTAGCGAGTATGCCCTTACAGTCGTTTACCCTCGTGGTTCGTGCCGGCGAGAAAGGATGCTACATCGCTAGAAATGGTGGAAGGAAGCGTCAGCCTCATGCACCTCGCGATGGTGTCAAGCGTCGGAAGAAAGATTACACTCGCGGCGGCCTCCGGCCCGACACTGACATGGAGGCACTCTTCGCAGGCTTGTTACAGGACGAAGAGGGCACCATCGCACGTGAAGAAATCGAGGTTGATCCTGGCGTCGAGCGCTGGGTACCTGCCTATCATCAAGATGCATCCTTGGTCGTTGATCCTACTGGAGGAGGCAATAGCTTTTTAGGTGGGCTTGCGGCGGCCCTCGCCCGAGGCAAGAGTGTAGAGGAGGCTGCTACATGGGGCAGCGTGTCAGCGAGCTTTGCAATCGAGCAAGTGGGCATGCCCATCCTCGGCAAAGACGAGCACGGTAACGAGACTTGGAACGGCATCCGAGTTAATCAAAGACTCCAGGAATATCGGCGTCGTCTACCAGAGTGAACCAACGAGAACCCACAAATGATGAGGTGGGTGAGTGCGGGTCGGTGTGTTCAACGAGAGAGGAAGGGGGGGCGCAGAGAGACTTCAAGGGGAAAACCGCGTTGGGAGACGTGGGCAATGATTGAGTACCATTGTCAGACATCCGACAAAAACAGGTGCAGAAATCATACATCATTATGTTATTGAAAGCTACGCAGCCCTTAGCCTGCCAAAACCATGCTCGAGTCTTTTGATCATGTAGATCAAGCGCGGTATCAGCCTTTTACCCATCGTAAATCAACCGCAGCTGCCTGGCCAACATTACCCCACAGCCGAACATTCTATTTGGGATGACACAACACCATGTGACACATACTAGATTTTGTATACAAGGTCCCCTGACGTATACCTGTCTTATTGTTAGCCTGGAG